AGTTTCGGATACAGGGGTGAATGTACAGATGCATTTACAAGAATACTGTAGTATAAGTATATATCATACATATAGGGAATGATGCACACCATACGGTTGGGGACTCCCCAGAACAGGCGAGGCTTGAGAATGTATCAACAAAGACAGACCGCGAGCGACGGCCGCGAGGCAAGCAGAGGCGAAGTAGGCTCGCAGGTGGCTACCATCAGTCATTCCTGTCATCGGGTTGTCTGCCTCCTTGTTCTGTGATTAGTAGTGATGGAGATTAGGGCGTGCTTTGCCGGTTTCTTTCCGCTAAGACACTCCGTAACTATACTGAACTTAGAACCCTAGCAACAATCGAAGTTTTAGCTGTTTCTTAGCGACTACAATAACCAAAAATGAAAAATATTTCTAAGTACCCCCAAGTTAACTTCAGACTCGAAGGGATACGTTTGAGGAAGAGGACTCAAGAGCTTCTCGCTGCTAGCCGGGGTATACTACAATGTCGCCAAAACTCCACGGAAGTTTGCAGGTTGTAGGTCTGTTGCGTGTGATGCGTTACCCTATAAAGGTTCAGTTTTGAACCTTGAGTAGACCCTAAACTGGAATCTATAGTTTTCAGTAATTACAGTATTTTGGCTTGACTGAATCCTAAAACTTGAGTGTAATGCAGGTTTTGTTCATCAAGAGCGAGGTCACCTGTGAGTCAACGTAGCTAGCAAAACCCCAGGCTCACTGGGCGATCAACCACGAATTTCAGGATCCGTCATTACGACACCGATGGTGACAATTGGTGCCAGGATTGTAAGGATCTTGCTATGCCTGGCTATGCCTAGTTCCACGGAAGGGTCCCCGATTTTCTGAAGCTCACTGTAAGAGCGAATACATGAATACATCGGGAGTTTTCGAGCATGTAGCTCAGCGTCGAAGTTTTTTGTTTGTCCTGTACAAGCCCGAAAAAGCCATGATCATCCCAAGCTCCAATCGGAATAGCACCAAAAACCTTCAGCCCGAACACTCCCAAGAGCCCTGAGGCCCTGACGATCCTAAAGCACTAAGCCTCACTAGCAGTAACTACTAGTAACCCTATTATTCGTATGGCAGCTCTGCATCATGTAGCACTCATTGAACTGCAGCTGACGTTTCTACCAAGGGTTCAATTTAGGGTTTAGGAGTTCCGGTTTAGGACAGAGTATGTTTTAAGTAGGGTTCAGGCTGGGGCTCAAAGCCGCTCCCGGTAAGAAGCAGGCAGAAATTAGAGAGCAAGATCGGATGCTTCGAGTGGCGGTCCTGTCGACAAAGTAAGTCCGGTCTGTGTTGGCTGACCACTGGCAGGGTCTAAACCCTATACCCTAAACCCTAAATCCGAGTGGAGTGAGGTCATATTTGAACTGTCGGATCAAGGACCATGTGCCTGGACCCACAATATTCTTGCTGGATAATGATAACAAATAGAACCCCCCTCCCTCCCTCCCTCCCTCCCTCCCTCGCTCTCTCTCTCTCTCTCTCTCTCTCTCTCTCTCTCTCTCTCTCTCTCTCTCTCCTCTCTCTCCTCTCTCTCTCTCTCTCTCTCTCTCTCTCTCTCTCTCTCTCTCTCTCTCTCTCTCTCTCTCTCTCTCTCTCTCTCTCTCTCTCTCTCTCGGTCTATATATATATATATATATATATATAATATTAATATCTATATATATATATATACACACACACATATATAATATGTATATAAATATACGTATATATATATATATATATACATATACATACATACATACATATATATATATATATATATATATATATAGATGTACTGCACAAACTCATGAAGTCGATCGTTTTACTCCATGAGCCCTGCTGGCTAGATGCGGCTAGATGTCAGCATCTCTGGTGGTCATGGCGATGATGGTTATGAGAAGAAGAAGATGAAGAGAAGATGATGTTGTTGATGATGATGCTGATGATGATGGTGGTTGTATGTGATTTATTACGACGGTGACGGTGATGTTGACCGTTTGATGCTGCCAACGATGCTGATGATTGCTATCGCCGGGGATGCGATGGCGATGGTGACGGCGACGATGCTGACGTCGTCGCGTTGTTGTTTCTCCCACCACTGGAGCTGCGGCTGCTGATGTTGCGGTTGCCATTGTTGTGACTGCGGCATATTGTGCGATACTCTTTGACGGCTACTTGCACTGATTAGACATGGTTCCTAAACCAAACTGGAACGACGATCATTACAGAACCCCGCTACATAAACGTAACACGCAGACCGCCAGTGGAATCGGCCGCGCTTGCTTGGCAGCGTGCTTTCCATCGGGCTCGGGTGGATTTGCGAGGGACTTTGCTGTTTTTGCTAGTGCAGTTCGTAGGCACAGTATTCTGCATGACGTCCTTGACAGCTACGTAAGTGGGACGATTGTAGATCAAGCGAAAACAGGCCTGTAGGCTTGGTTCAGGTCATGTGGGGTTAACGATATGTGACTAAGTGTTTGGTTTTCGGCTCCGGGTGGTACGAAACGGTGCAAGGTCGACAATCCCCTAGCTTGCTAGAGAGCACTGGAAAGATGGGCAGCAGTGTGTAGACAGTGTGCGCCTGCTTGGTCTCAGATTGGCAGGGCTCCCGGCATTTTCTCTCTCTTGCCCTTAGTACTCGTTTGCTGTCGTCTGTCCGTTCTCATGTTGGTTCAATCCAAAGATCAATTGGAACACACCGTTTTTCTTGCTTCTGAATTTCCTCAGTGAAGTCTCTGAACCCCTAGGGCCCAAACCCCAAACCGCCTCTCGCAAGCCCACCCGTCTTCTGAATGGATGTCTAATTCACCTCAAAGCTAGACAATGCTTCCGTAGAGGGATGCGAGTGATGCCAGCAGTGGAGTCCAAGGTGATTGTCCACGCAAGTTGCCGTACGTCGATGAAGCCACGACGGGGCCAACATGTCAAAAACCCGGGTGTTGCCCAACCGTACGCCCTACTTTAGGTGCCTAGATTATTACCTATACTATTCTTTGGGGGGGGGGGGGGTCCTGAAAAAATACTATATAGGGACGGGCTTCCCTATTCCAATTGTTAAGGCCCCTATATATTAGCACCTGCGCTCTACGAACCCGAAAGCCTGAAATCTGGCAAATTAAAGCTTCCATCTTAAACGCGAGCTTCGGAGCCTTGGAGCACAAGCCTCGCACGCAAAGTTCGAAAACGCCCAACGTGTCATACGACCCTTACAGTAAGTACCCCTTCTAGTACTCCTTATAAAGGGAACCCATTAGTCGTTCCAGCCGTTCTAGTTTTGCAGCCGCTACCTGGTAAGAAGCGCCAGCGCCTGGGGATCCTTCAGAAAGATAACAAGAATTGGGTGTAAGGTTCGATAGGTTTTAGGGTTTAGTTGTAGGGATTGGGGTTTAGGGTTCAGGGTCTAGGGTTTGAACAATATCGTCACAGGTGCTCTGCACTTTTTGCAGCATAAGCTTTTTACCAGGACCAAAGACCCATCTCGAATCCTCACCCTTTCTATGCCCTTGTTTCCCATATTCTAGCGCTTATTACACTGTGGTGCTATTCACAAAGCACGTCTGGCAAATCGTAGCCTAGCAGCTTGGTTTACTCTGTTCTGGGTATTACCATCCCGAACTCTTGAACCAGGCTTGCTATTGAGTCACAGTGCTCCGGAGGGTGTTTCGACGACCCAAGGCGACGGCATCGTTTCGTTTCCCGATCCCGCTTAGAGTGATAATCTTAGGCACCCGACAGCACGCTGGCAGACAAGAAGTGAAGTGCATTTCAGTGCAGGGAAGTAGTTTTTGGATCAAAATCGAGCTCTAAAGTTTGGCCCCCCTGTATGGATTCTGTGCACAGGATGTGCGGTTGTGCCGAGAGGTGTAAGTAAGGAATCTATGACTGAGCGGCCTCGTTTGTAAACCCACCCTAAACCCTAAACCCCTAAACCCTAAACCCCTTTAAACCAGTTGGGATGTAGGGTTTAGATTTCGAGTTCGGGCCCCAGTTGCGGGGTTTCGAGTTTTGCTCTTGAGGGTGGTCGTTTGGGGTTTTGCGGCTTGAGGGTTGGAAGGTCGAGTTTGATGCTGATTATGTGGGAGTTTCCGAAATTTGGGGGAAACCTTGTTCTGGGGTCCTGATAATAAGGATCCTACATGAAGGTCCCCCATTTTCGGAAACTCCCATGTATATGACTCCGAGTAACATCGGTGGGATTTCTTGAAATCCTGAGATGTTTGGGTTTATGGGACGCGGTAACACGAGATAAAGGCCCCCGCGACTTGAAGTCTAAGGGCGAGAGAGAGAGAGAGAGAGAGAGAGAGAGAGAGAGAGAGAGAGAGAGACTGAGAGACAGAAAGAGAGAGAAAGATGAGAGAAAGAGAGAGAAAGATAGACAAAGAGAGAGAGAGAGAGAGAGAGAGAGAGAGAGAGAGAGAGAGAGAGACTGAGACTGAGAGACAGAAAGAGAGAGAAAGAAGAGAGAAAGAGAGAGAAAGATAGAAAAAGAGAGAGAGAGAGAGAGTGTGTGTTGGGGCGTCTAGGTAGGATGTCGGGTCTGGAATTCCGAATGTGAGTGCTGTGGACTCAGTTCTTTTGTTGAATCGTCGAACACATCGTGAGAGATGCATCGGGATGACTGCAAGGGTCCCGCGAAGCTCCGAATCACCAAGCCAGGGAAAATGAGGCCGACTATGAGGCCGGAGCGATGAAATAGGACACTCTGCAATCCACAGAAGCTATGGAGCTTCATGGCCCCAAACCCTACCTTAACTCTGAAGGACCTACCTTTTTAAGGACTTATATAAGGAAAGCATAATAAGGAGCCCTAAAAAGGTAGGTTATTCAGGATTAATGTAAACTCTCCAACCTGCCAGACATAGACACCAGAGAATCCTGGATCCCATCCCCTCAATACGTAGAAGCAGCTGGGTCTCTCAGACACAGATCTCTGGTCCTCCCTCATGGAGTTTAGGGTTTAAGGTTTAGGCTGTATAGGTGTGTGGTTTCGGGGATTTAGAGAAGCTATGGCGTGGAGCCGCACGAATGGTGCCTTCATCGACAGGCGGACCTGGATTATACTTGTAGCAAAGTAAGTAGGGCAGGGGCTTAAAGGTTTCAGTACATCTTGAACCTCGTTCTCAAACCCTCGCCCTGTTTATGGTTTAGGAACCGAACAGGCTTATCGTGCTTTGGGTTTTCGCTTCGTGTATGATGCTTGCCGGGTTTCGCGATGAGGACTTACAAATAAGGCTTGGGGTCTGTTGCACTACGCATGATCTAAGTCAAGGGCTCCATGTTGAGTAAATGTTTGGGGGTGGAAAGTTGCGTTCCTTCTCGTTTAGTTTTTGGATCGGTGTAGGGGTTAGGGTTTACACAGAGGCTCCAAAGTAGTTCCTTTCTGGGGTTACCTTATAGGATTCTACTTATGAGCCCCCAAAAAGGAACTACTGAGGAGCCTATGGGTAGGGGAACACATTCAGAGTGTTCTCGAACCCACTTTCCAGCTTTTGTCCGAGCTCAGTTCCCCTCAAGCATAAGATTCTCGAAGGGTTTAGGGTTTAGGGTTTAGGATTCTCGAAACTCACAGCCTTGTCTTCAGGTTACCCTGAGGGTCTATGTACCCAAATAGTACATGCTTCGGGCCCAACGTACCTAAATAGGGAGTACTTTGAGGCCAAAGTATATACTATCTGACAACATGGACCCTTAGGGTTGTACTGCAGGGCCTAAACCCTTAACCCTGACCTCCTAGGCCCAGGGTTTAGTTGGTGCCTTGAGGGTTTCTGGCTTCGGGGTGCGACACAGCCCGGAGCAGGGAGCTTACCTCCGCAACATAAGAAGGGTGTGGTGGCTTCTTGGGTTCAGGGGTTTAGGGTTGTTGTTTAGGGGTTTGGTTTTAGAGTGTAGAGCTTATAGGGCTTAGAGCTTATAGGGTTTAGGGTGCCCTTGACACTGGTTTGCACTACTTCGTCGCGACTAGTGTCTACAACAAGGACGATGAGCCCATGTTCCGTCAGGAACCTCTGCTGAACCCCCTAGTTCACGTGCCAGCGTTTCCAAAGTGTATTCTCAGAGGTCCTGCTCATTCTACATACTTCCACAAATACGTCCACAAAATGGCAGCACATTGAGGAGGCGAAGCATATCTGTCTGGAAACGCTTATTGCCAACGAGATCCCTCTTTCGGAGAGTGTGCCTCTAGGTAGCATGCAGCAAATCGTCCGGTCGCATAATCCTCGTATAGTCCCAAGTTTTCCCGTAAGCTCATCTAGGATACTGGACAACTAACATGTACCTATATATACATATATAGATAGATGGAAGATCGATAGATAGATAGATAGATAGTATATACATAGGCCTTAAAGTAGTCCCTACGTGGGTACGTTAGGGCCAAAGTAGATACTATATAAGTACATGGAGCCTTCAGGGAGCCATATTTACTAGCTATAGATCCTTATATGTTTAGTAAACTAATTTAAACTCCCAAAGAACAACAGAAAGCCAGCTCGGAAAGCTTCAATGTCACGAAACCCTAGCCCTAAAGCCTGAACCCTAGACCTAAACCCTAAAACTTGAACCCTGGGCCCCAAACCCTCAAACCTAAACCCCGAACCGTAAAACCTGAACCCTGAAACCTGTAAGCCCTAAAACCTCAACCTTGAGCCCTAACAGCGTTGAATCTCGGAATTGCAAGAGGACGTCGCACGGGATCATCCTTTGGGCAGCCAGCGACCCAACTAATCCGGCGTCAGGGTTGACTTACCTTTGGTTAGTAGGGAATGGAAGAACGGTAGTACTAGTAGTTATAATTGCACCCCATTCCTCCATTCCCTACTAACCAAAGGTAAGTTGAACTAAGGGCCAGTCTAAGGCACTCGGACTCCTAGGTTTTAGGGTTCAAGGGACCAGGATTCATGGGGTTTATGGCACACCACATCTTGGTGCCGTGCGATGTGGACTGCTTTTATGCAAGCCGTTGAGCGTAATTCTGAAGATCGCAATTGGGAGGGCCGACTTGAACATCAATTCACTCGTGGGCCTGAGATCTTTCCTGAGAAGACTTCGGATTACCGGCGGCGAAAGCAGCTTCTACTTGAGATCGTGCGGACATTGTTAACGATTGTCTTTGCAATCTCATTGCCGACCGATGCGCGTACGCATGTTTGCCATATCTTGAAGGTGCGCGAGCGTGAGCTCGAAGGCTGTGTGCAAATAGAACGTTCCCAAGGGGATACGCTTACTAATGCATTGGCCGAATTGAGACCCATCTTGGACGTTCCTTCGGAACCGGCTGCTGCGCCACCTGTATCTGATTCTCCTGCTGAGCGCTCGCGATCTCCGCCTCGAATCTTGGTTGAGGGGTTAGTAACACCCCCTACTCCTCCAGGGCCTCGACCTAAGTATAAGGGTATCAAGACTCCTGTTCCTCCCAAGGTTAAATCTGTACCCGTAACATCAGGTCCTAGCCGTGCTACTCCCAAGCTGCAAGTTCGGGGTTTAGGATTCAGGGTTTCGTAAGGTGTTGGGTTTAGAATTTGGCATTTTGAGGTTGGCAACATCTTTAGAGGCCAGATACCCTAGGCATTTAAGGACTCATATATGAAGGCTTTTGGGCATAGTGGGAAGGTTGGTGGCCCTGAGGCCCATCACACATCCCTCTTGCCCGTTCCAAGCATAAGGCCTCCGCTGCCGACCCTATTCCATGGGGGTTCACGGGTTTCGGGTTCAGGGTGTATGGTTTAGGGGTTTAGGGTTTAGGCTTTACGGTTCAGGGTTTAGAGGATATGCTTAGGGCTTAGGGGTTTAAGGTTTATAGTGGGAGTTTCCAGCTCGTCGCCGTAGTGTCCGGCGCTTGCGCCGACGGCATGTCTATATTTGTGTTTCTCTCAATCTGCCACTGTGCCTTTTGAGATACCGTACAAGATGGGAGGTTCCGAAAATAGGGGACCCTAATATAGTGCCCCAAATGGAGTCAAGCCTTGACATTTTAGGGTTGCTTTGTTCACAAGTCTGCCAAGTTAGAGATTGCCTTCGAAACATTAAATACTGACAGCCCTGTAGTCCCTCTAATCCCACAAACCCATAACCCTGAACCCCGAAACCGCACCCCTAAACCCTAAACACCTTGAGCTCTAAAACCCTAAACCACAAGCTCCCTGAATCCCCAAACTCTGAATCCCTAAAGACCCTAGGCCCTAAACCCTAAACCTTGAATCCCTAAAGACCCTAAGCCCTAAACCCTAAACTCTAAACCCTGAATCCCTAAAGACCCTAGGCCCTAAACCCTAAACCCTAAACTCTAAACCCTGAATCCCTAAAGACCCTAAAGCCCACACCCCAAAAGGAGCGTATCCGAACTGAGAGACGGAGGCCGGATGTGTCTGTTGCCTTCTTCCCAGACCTTCCAAAACCCCTTGATTAAAGGAATATACCTTAAATCATATTAAGGATCCTACTATAATTTAAGGTATATTCCTTAATTAAGGGGTTTTGGAAGGTCTGGGTGGATAACATTTTACATTTTTATGGGTACCTAAACCCAATAAGGAGTAGACATTTATATGTTTAATGCTATCCCAACCATGAACTAGCCTTGGGGTTGAGGGTTTGGGGTTTTTAGGGCTTGGGGTTTAGGGTCTAGGGTTCAGGGTTTAGGGTTGATAGGGTCTTGGGGTTTAGTGTTTGGGGTTTAGGGTTTAGGGTTTTAGGGTCCAGGGTTCAGGGTTCAGGGTTTGGAGTTCAGGGCTGTTTTGGGTTTGGGGCTGTTGTCTTGCTATTTCACTGCGGTATATTGCAGCAGAAGTATATCGGGTGTTGGGGTTTCAGTTCTGGGGTCCAAGGTTTGGGTTTCAGGACTTTAGGTTAGAAGGGGCCCCCACCCTGTATTAGTGACTATAAGGATTATACTAGGGCCCGATTATATTCCTATTACAACACCATTACAGGGTGGGGGCCCCTTCTAATCTTTAGGGCTTAAGGTGTAGGGCTTAGGGTTTAGGTTCCGACCAGTGTGAGACTTCCGTGCCGGAGGTGCGTTCTTGAGACCTCTTTGGGGCGGAGCTGTCTCAGAATGGGGGTCAGGGTGTGGGGTTTAGGATTTAGGGTTTAGGGTTTGGGGTGGTTCGGGGTACTGGACTGGAGGTTAAGGGTTTCGAGATGACCCTAAACCCTAAAACCCTTCACTCTAAGTCCTTAAACCCTAAGCCTTCAACCCTTCATTCTAAGTCGCGAAACCCGAAACCCCAAGCACTTCGCTCTAAGTCCTTGAAACCCAAAGCCCCGCAGCCTCTAAACCCTAAACCCTAAACCCTTAAACCCTAAACCCTAAACCCTTAAACCCTACACCCTAAACCCTTAAACCCTAAACCCTAAACCTCTTCCGACGCAGGCTTGGGCTCGAAGATCCCAATGCCCCCACCACGGCAGACGTCATGGTACCGGGCTTGGGAGCACCATACTTTAGTATCTTTTTTTGGGACCTGAGCTCTTAAAGGGGACCATGATGAACTAAACTTAGGGGTACTTAGAATTAGTTTTCAATTTTTGGTTCTTATGAACCCTAAGAAACAGCTAAAATTACATGTTTCGCTAGGGTTCAAAGTTCAGTATAGTAAAGGGACCTGGTACTTAAAGGGGACCATGATGAAATAAGCAGGGTACCTATCCCAGCGGTGTTCACTCAGTTTTGCTTTTGGGGTTTGGGTTTTGTATTAGCGGCTCAGGAGCTTTGAGAGGTTTCGGGTTTGAGCGGTTTCCAGTTTGTTCTGCTGTTTGTTTCTTTGTTTCTTTGTTCGTTTTCGTGCTGTGCTTCTTGCTCTAGTCCTATTTGTGAGCGGTTGTCTTGTTTCTGTTGTTCGTGTTGTAGTGTTGGACGGTGATACTGTAGAGTCTTTATATTGTTTGTAGAGTTTTGCATGTCGTGGTTTTGGGAGCAAGCCCTAAGGGTCCATGTACTCATATAGTATAAATATACACTGGCCCTAATGTAGCTCCTACATAGGTACATTGGGGCTCATGTATCTCTATATGGGTACATGAACCCTTAGGGAAGGTTTCGTGGACACTGGGATATGGGAGTCTCTATACAATGTCGAAGGTCCAGTCCCTCGTAAGGGCTCCAGAACTCCATCTCTTCCCTTTATGGTCCTGGTGTGTCGTGGTTAACACAGCCTCCTGAATAGTCAGAATAAGGTGTGTGTGGGGGGTGGGGGTGGGGGGGGGGGGGGTATACTACACAACAATCATACTATGGAACCACCAAAATTCATTTCTGGATTATCACCACTACAGCCAATGCCTAACCAAGAACAAAGAATAACACGCTGAAGGGACCTCCAAGAACGGCACTTTAATATTTAATACCAATTTGTGAGGTCCTTTATCAGACCTACAGCCAATGCCTAACCACGAACAAAGAATGACAAGTTGAAGGGACCACCAAGAACGGCAGATAACTATTTAATACCAATTTGTGGAGTCCGTATTACATTTATAGTAGGCTCCGCAAAACTCCATTCTAACTATTAAGGCCCCTAGATTAGCTCGTGGCTTTAGCGCAGCATTGGGTGATGACCTTGCAGGTCTGGGGATCTTAGGCCATGTTCGGTTGATGAGCCTCCAAATTTCGGTGAGTTTAGGGTCGGGTTCCTGGAGTTGGAGCAGTTTAAGGAACTGGTCCCGAACAAAGCTTAACAATAATCATAATGGCAAAATCAATAATAGTATTAAGGAATACAGATAAAGAGTATAAGAAGAAGACCAACACTAACAATAACAGCAACAAGCCGGGTTCAAGCCTCTTGAATGCGGGTGGCCTGAGATCGGCGACGTGCTAGAGAAGCAGCCTATCCCCAAGGCCGTGGAAGTGAGTAGGGCCTATGGAATTAGCTCGGGTTTCCGTTTCAGGTGTCAGGAAAAGGGCCCAGCTCTGTTACGATGTAGGGTTTACGGCTCAATGACAATGCAGGATTTAGGGTCTGGATCGACGATCGCCGAGGAATGCGGTTTACGGTTCAGGTTTAGTGTGTTCAGTCGGACGGGGGCGGTTCAGGATTGACGGTTCGGTGTGGGGGTTGGTAGGGGTAGGGCCGACCCCTCTTTAGCAGCCTTTCTTCTCTTGAAGGTTAGGGTTTAGGGTCATGGATTTATATGAATTAATCGTAGCTCAATCTGGGCTGGCGTTTGGGTTGCTGGATATGGGAAGATGGGAACCAAAATCCGAAGCGAAATCTTCTGTGGACCCATAGAAAACCCACAGTGCGGAAACTTGAAGCACACCATCAGATTGCATGTTAGGGCTTTGGGTTTAGGGTTCAGGGCATAACCTCCAACCCAAAACCCTACAACCAGGCTTCAGCAGGTGGGCACCTCATGATAGACGCAAGTAGGCTGATCTTCAAGGACTCCCCTCGCCAAAGGAGCTCGATGAGAGTAGCGAGGAATACTGGCTTGAAGGTCATGATTAATACCTATTTTGGCTGTGTGGAGTGGCGGACCCCAAGATAAAGGATGGAGTAAGCTTCTTATTCTGATCCTTCTCCATAAAGACTACCGAACATGACTCTTCCTCTCCCACCATGCTGCAGTCCCTGGGCCGTCACCCCTCAAGCTTAATCCTTAAATCAACAATGAGCCCTAAACCCCTATAAAGCCCGAATCCCAAAACGACACTATCCTGGAAACGCCGTCGGTGCAGTACAGAAGCCATGGAAGACCGCCAAGACAGGCGCGAGAGGACTGGCTTCCCGAGGGTGCAAAGCTTCGCGTGTTCCATCGCCGGGCGCTTGAGAGGCCTACGGCTATCCTTTACAGTGTTCCTGTCAGGGCCCCTATGAGGGATCCATTAATGTCTTGGGGGTTAAAGGTCTTTGGACTTCGGGTTTAGGGTGTTGTTTGATTTTCGGGGTCTTAAGGTTGTTGGTTACCAAAAAGCTCGGGTAGCAAGTAAGGTGGCAGTCATAATAGCTAAAGGCTGGCATCTGGCGGAGGGGTTTACATTTCTGGTTCTGTGGTTTAAAGTTTGTGGTTTCAGAGTTCCTAGGTTTCAGGTATTATAGTAGGTACCTGGACTTTGGATGGTAGCCGAAAACCAAAGTCAACTCTCCAGGCCACTATATTTGGTGTTGTGTGTTGGACAACAGGAATTGAACCTAGAGCTGCATTGCCGGTCACGGAGTTAAGGTAAAGTATAAGGGATCCTCGCAGGTAATCCTCCTAGAGCCATGTTCCAACTTTCTGGCTTCTACTAGTGTTGCGGAGTGTTGGGTTTTCGGTTTGGCTTCTGGTTCAGGGATTGGGGCTTTTAGGTGATGCTAAACAAACCCCCAACAGGAGCGTCCTTCTATGCATCCTTACATTCATGGGGTACGTCGTCCTTTATAAGGGGCCCCCACCCTGTAATAGTGACAAAAAGGATGATATAAGGGCCCCTATAATATTCCTATTATACCACTATTACAGGGTGGGGGCCCCTTCTTGAGGCTATGATATTAGTAGGCACGCAGGTCATGCGGGAGGGCGGAGGAAGAGCCTCGATACCTGAATTGCTGTCCTGCCTTTCCCAAAGCCACTAGCTCGGACCTCACCACAATTCCAAAATCCGTATCTCAGATCCCGGACATATGTGACTGGACAAAACTAGAATTTTGGACATCTCATGCGTGTAGCATGTCGATAAGTGTGGAAGTTTCGCTGCTCAGTGGCAAGACAGCTACTGTTCAAGCAGGCTTGGACGAAACAGTGGAAGCGTTGACACAACGGGCACAGATCGCACTGGGAGTTGGGAAAGGGCGGCTACTAGATTCTTCTGGAGTCGTTCTGGACCGGAGCGCGAAGACCACGAATTCCCAGATTCAGAGTGGTGACTCGCTGACCTTGCATGTAAACAGAGTTCAAGTTCAGTCTCAGTCCTCTGTATTTTATTTTGCTGCCATTCTCGGCGATGGATCTGTCGCGACCTGGGGTGATGCTCGCGTTGGTGCTGACAGCAGTGCCGTGCAGAATCAGCTGAAACATGTGCAACAGATACAAAGCTCTCGGGACGGCGCTGCTGCTGCCATTCTTGGTGATGGATCGGTTGTGACCTGGGGTTCTCCAGTCGCTGGTGGCGACAGCAGCGCTGTGCAGCGTCACCTGACGAATGTGCAGCAGATCCAAGCCTCTGGAAAAGCTTTTGCCGCGATTCTTCGCGATGGATCGGTTGTAACCTGGGGTCAGGCTGCCTTTGGTGGCGACAGCAGTGTTGTGCAGGGTCAGCTGAAAAACGTGCAGCAGATCCAATCCTCCAACGACGCTTTTGCTGCCATTCTTGGCGATGGATCGGTTGTAACCTGGGGTCATGCTGCCTTTGGTGGCGACAGCAGTGCTGTGCGGGGTCAGCTGAACAACGTGCACCAAGTCCAATCCTCCAGCGGCGCTTTTGCTGCCATTCTTGGTGACGGATCCGTTGTGACTTGGGGTCGTGCTTTGCTTGGTGGCGACAGTAGTGCTGTGCAGGACCAGCTGAGGAACGTGCAGCAGATCCAAGCGTCTGGCGGCGCTTTTGCTGCCATTTTGGGTGATGGATCGGTTGTCACCTGGGGTGATGCTGACCTTGGTGGCGACAGCAATGCTGTGCAGGACCAGCTGAAGAATGTGCAACAGGTCCAATCGCATGGTCGTGCTTTTGCCGCGATTCTTCGCGATGGATCGGTTGTAACCTGGGGTCATGCTGCCTTTGGTGGCGACAGCAGTGTTGTGCAGGGTCAGCTGAAAAACGTGCAGCAGGTCCAATCCTCCAGCGGCGCTTTTGCTGCCATTCTTGGTGACGGATCCGTCGTGACTTGGGGTCGTGCTGTGCATGGTGGCGACAGTAGTGCTGTGCAAAGTCAGCTTAAGAACGTGCAGCAGATCCAAGCCTCCATCAGCTCTTTTGCTGCAATTCGTGGCGATGGCGCAGTTGTGACCTGGGGTCCGGCTGGCGGTGGTGGCGACAGTGCTGCAGTGCAGGGTCAGCTGAAGGATGTGCAGCAGATCCAATCCTCTGGCGGTGCTTTTGCTGCCATTCTTGGCGACGGCTCCGTTGTGACCTGGGGTAGTTCGTCGTACGGTGGCGACAGTAGTGCTGTGCAGGGTCAGCTGAAGAGTGCGCAGCATATGCATTCCTCTGGCAGAGCTATTGCGGCGATTCTCGGCGATGACGGCCTAAACCCTGAACTCAATCTGGCGTGACCTTATGTAGTGCTTCCAATGCCGGCAGCAGTAGCGAGTCGGCAGGTTACAGACAGTAGTACCGGGCTGTACTCTCTGCCTGACAAGAATACCCAGAGACTCCGATATCCCTGAATTAGGAACTATGCCTGCAATTATAGCAGGACCCTTAATATGATTTGAGGACTATATTCCTTAATTAAAGATAGTATTGGAGCTTTCGGGTACCTTCAAACATGCTTCCAGCAGCTCAAGACCCAAAGCCCAACGGCCAGAACCTTGAACCCCAAACCCTATAACTCGCCACGAACACTTCGCCTGAAACTGAACCCTTGCGAGGTCCCGGCCCCGTTTGGGAGCGACCTCCTTCGAGTACGGAAGGCCTTCTTCTTGTGTCATTGTCATGGTTCAGGCCTTTGGGCAAGTCGGGGTTTTAGGATTTAGGTTTTAGGGTTTTAGGGTTTAGGGTTTAGGGTTTTGGGTTTAGGGTTTAGGGTTTAGGTTTTAGGGTTTTAGGGTTTATTTTAGGGTTCAGGGTTTGCCATTGCATGTCCAGGCTGTTCAATTCAAGGGTTTGCGGCTTGGTGTGTAGGGGTTCATGGGGTGTTGAGTTCCGGGAAAGCGTTTGTCGGGCTTGGGGTAGTTCGATGGAATTCTTAGGAGTTTTAAGGTTTAGGGTTTTGGAATTCACGGTTCGGGGCAAGGGCTAAGAATGGACTTGCTTGTAGTGCGCATGCTCCATGGAAATTGGAAGTCCGTTATCAGTCAGTCAGTCAGTCAGTGAGTAGTGAGTGAATGAGTGAGTAAGTTAGTTAGTCAGTTAGTCAGTGCGCCAGCAGTTAGACAGTTAGCTAGTTAGCTATTTTGCTAGTTAGCTAGTTAGTTGGCTAGCTAGTTAGTCAGTTAGTCAGGTAGATAGCTACTAGATAATTTAGTTAGCCAGTTAGTTACTTGGTGGGGTAGGCATTGAGTTACTTGGTCGTTAGTCAACAGGTAGCGAACAGTTGTTCAATAGTCCGTGAACAAGATAGATGGATAGCTAGACAGCTGTACAGCTAGCTCGCTGTTTAGATTGTAGATCTTCCCAGAGACTCACATATCCCTTAATTGAGGAATGTACCTTAAACTTAAATTATAGTATATAGGATCCCTAGGTATGTTCCCTAATTATATAAGGGATATTGGAGTCTCTGGTTTCCGTACGTCCCGGGAACCGGGTCTCGGGCTTGCAGGGAAGGGGGGACTTCAGGGATGTCAAGTCTTCCCCTAGGGGTCCAAGGGACCCAGTAACAAGGTACTTGGGTTTAGGCTAGTAGTTATGTAGCTTTACATTTGGGAGAGTATATGATTGTTAGGTACTTGGACCCTTACCTGGACCCCCAAAGTATGTCGAATAATAGCCTTTTCATAGGTATTGGGCCATTATTTTACCTACTTTGGGGGGTTTAGGTGGGGTTCTTTGTGCCGTTCGATGTCATGCTTCCTAGGTTCCCAGGGGCTCCAAAGCTCTTGCTTCATTGCGGAATTCGCTAATCCCTACCTTGAGCTACCAAGAACCTGCTCTTTCGTAGGGTCGCTATAAGATCCATATTTAGTGGTTATAACAAGAACCTGGTTGTGGAAGTTAGAGGAAAAACCCGCAGGTGTTTCGGTTGCTGGGGATCCGAGGGGTCTCAACGACCTTTTATTCTGCAACCCAAAGGTACTTCGGCACCAAGGGGCGAATATGGTTCCTGACTAGCTGAGGGGGAGTTATAACTAAAGTGCTGCAGCGTAGTTCGTTGTAAGAGTACATATAAGTCAGAGCCCGTAGAAGATACTTCGTTGATATTTTGTGAACCTTTAGAATCTGCATATGTTTGTTCGTGCTCGCTTGCACCGTGAGGTTTCACGTGAGCCACCCAGAGGTGCATGCTTCCTACTTCCGCAAAAGGCGTCTCGGGCGGGTTCGGGGCTTGGGGCGAGGAGGTGGAAGTTGGGGTGTAGGTTGTTAATTTGGGAGTTTCCGAAAATTAGGGGGGTTCCTTATTTGGGGGTCCTTATAACAAGGATCCTACTTTTTAGGGCGCTTTATTCGGGATCCTCCATTTTCGGAAACTCACACTTTGGGGTGTAAAGCCAGTCATGGGCTCGAGACTAACAGAAAGGGAGGCTTCAATCGTCTTAAAACGATGCTTCCCTGTTCTGCCTCCTTTGCGCGTAGCTACTTTTCCCACGCTCCACCGTGCTCAAGATGGTGTGTAGGCCCCTTGAGTTTTGGGGTCGGCTCTCCTCTCTTACAGGAGGTTCCTGAACACCAAAATAGCAGACCCAATACACTAAAGTTATCCTGGTTATCCTCGTAATCAGATCGTAACAGTGCTGATACACAGTGCTATCACCATTTTTCCCATAATCCCCTAGGTCCCCCCAGCATCTTCGATACTCCCTGGTTGAGTGGCAGGGATCGCATCGCCAGCCTTGTGGCAGAGCAGCGGCAGAGGCGGATTGAAGATTGGGCAGATGGAGTTCCTGATTCGGAGTTTAGTGTGTTAGGGTTTGGGTCAAAAGTTCGGGGTTTACTCTTCGTAGTTTGCAGGGGCTAGGCGTTGAATTTATGATTTAGGGGTGTGGGATTCAACGAGGCTTTTCAGCTAGGATCAGAATCTTCAGATACAGTGCTGCTTCACCGTGCATGCTCAGTTGTAAGCATAAGTAGTTTCCGGGCAGGAATAGAATTGGTATCGATTTCGAACTTTGCGAGACCCAGTCAGCCCCAAAAGCACCCCCACAGACAGTACCCTTCATGGTACGAGTACCCAGAACAGTACCCATAAGTCAATGAAAACCCTTGTACAACTTTCAACAGAGCGTGAGATGACCTCCATGCAGCCCCATGGGGTACATCCGGGCTGCCTGGATGCATGCATGGGGACGTCCCAGGTTTGATATGAAAGGGGCCTGGATGATTAGAATTGGCGTTTCGGGATCCTTGACAGGGATTCGATAAGGGCTACTTTAAGGGTATTGTAGAGCCTGAATAAATAGTATAGGGTGTTTTCTCTTTGTCTTGAGAGAGGGGGGAGGGAAGGGGGGTGGGCTGATTATATAGCATAATAGTTATTCCAAGTGAACGCTGGATCCTCAATGCTTGCTCGCTTTCGGGTTACCGGGTTGAACTGTGTCAAAGACTGGCCCTATAAACCCGGAAGCCTCGAACCTCTAAGATCGTCATCTGGGTAGTTGTCAAAATTTTGGTCCCATTTTGGCTACCTTTTATAATACGGCACCCATATTTAGGGTACCCAAAAAGTTTTGACAACCACCCATCTCTGTATTTCCCAACCAGTGCAAAGTTGACATTTCTGTAGGCCTGGTCATCAATTAAAGGAGGAAGGCATATAGTCTGTTATGCAGCCTACGTCAGTACCCGAAGCATTTGCAAGAAGCCTCAGAACACGCTAAATCGCACCGAGTCTAAGAAACCCTGTAATGAAGATGCATAGCACACTATTTAAAAGCCGTCAGCACGCTAGACATCACTGTAAGCTTCATAAAGCCCTATGAAGACCAACGCAAGCTTTCTGAAGCCCCCTTTGTCAGATTCTCAGAGCAAAGCTGCCAGGGAGTACCGGGAGATGCAGAAGAAGCATCCTTGCTCCTGGTTCGACCCCTGGTAGGGCTGTGGGGCTTACGGGTTGTTGGCTTTAGAGGTTCAGGGTTCAGGGTTTGGGGGTGCTTTACTGTCAGTTCATGTACGGGCTGTCAGAGCTTTTAGATTTGTTTCGTTTTTGGGGTTTTGCGGGCCAGAGCTTTCCTGAGAGTCCACGCGAAGTACTTTTCCGGACTTCAGCGCCGAAGTCGGGAGTCTCTGCAGAATCGGAGTCTTAAGTCCAGGATTCAAGCCCGATCCCCAGCTGCCCTCCATTCAGAGACCCTCGCAAACAGTATATGGAACGGATAGACCTATCTTGAATCAGCTACCCGAGCCCGAGCAATCGAAAAGCCCACAGCTGCCACGACTGTAACACAGCCTACCCCACGCTTCCCCTGCAAGCAGTCAGAGTTTGGTGATCCTTGGGAACCATTTCCTTGTTTGGAATAGCCCAAACCCAAGGGTGCCGATCACACATCCAATGGGGTCCAAGGGATTCATAGTAAGTTATGAGCACCGCCCCAAGGCATGGCATCAAGCCGCCAGCAACACCGAAGATGGAAGCGCCCTTGCGCCAAGCTCGGATGTTGATTCTAATATAGAAGCCGACATAATGGCCGGTATTATTCCTTCGAGTTCCATAGCATGTACTCGAATTTTTACGACTCCGACATTGTTGTATTTCGGACAGTTTCCTCAGAAGCTTCTTTCTGTTCTGAGAGAGGGCTACATGGTTCCTAATGGTAAGCGTTGCGTTTATGGTCTTTTGCTGTAGTAGGGTCGGGGCAGGATTTTAGCCATGGCCTAGTGGTTTCATGGTTTCGGATTTACAGATTTTTCAGGTTGAGGGTTTGGGCCATCCATGTAGGCATCTCAGCTTCATCATGCTAAAACACTAGTTTCTAAGTCCATGTAAGTAAAAGCTGGGATCATTCTATGTATTCGGGACGCCATTACCCTAACTCACTTATATCCTCCGGCGAAGTAGCCGAAACAGCATATATGTCAAAGCAAACTTACTAAACTTATAATATGCCCGAACATACCTTATAGCACAGGTTGCCAAGTTTATTATAACTTACAAGTCCGCTAAGCAAAGCGGGGTATGTTGTATGGGTAATTCCCAGTTGTGTTGAGCCCCGAGTAAACCCTCAACCCTCAACCATGATAGTAGCCCTATTATAGACTGTTACTGTATGGGGGCAGTATCCAAGGTAAGTCCCAGTTGTCCCTAAACCCCTAAACCCTCAACCCTAAGCCGCCCTAATCCCCTAAACCCTAAAATCCTAAGCCCTAAGCTTTCGATCCCTAAATCCGAATCCTTGATCCCTAAATCCCTAAACCCTACACCCGGGATTAGTAAGTTGCCTGCTCCATTGGAGCTCTCCGACTGTACTGCAGAAGGAAAAAGGCCCTCAAAAAAAAAAAAACTAAACCCTAAGCCCTAATCGCTTAATGTTAACCTACTTTTTATAAATCCCCCCTCAATTACAAAACCCCACCCCCGGAACTCAATTATAAACCCCCCCTCAATTACAAAACCTTCCGGCCCAAAATCCCCGAAATTAGATACTTCTTGTTGTGTGTTGTTGTGTGAGAGAGAGAAAAGGAGAGAAACTGCAGCTACTGCGAGAGCTTGAGGACTGCAGAGAGAGAGAAACTGCAGCTACTGCGATAGCTTGAGGTCTGCAAGAGAGAGAGAAACTGCAGCTACTAAGACTGCTTGAAGTCTGCAGAAAGAGAGAAACTGCAACTACTACGACTGCTTCAGGTCTGCAAAGAGAGAGAAACTGCAGCTACTCAGATTTAGAGGGCCTCAGAAACCATGCCTTCCTTAATAAAATTCCTTATTCCCGGAGCCAAAAATCAATCCATCCTGATGGAGTACTAACAAAGGCCGTTCTTCGCAATTATAAACCCCCCTCAATTATAAACTCCCGCCGGGGAGGGCCTTTTGCTTCAGAAGCCAAGCCCTTCATTGGGAAAGCTTTAGCTTCCAAAGCCACCGGACTCCGAAACCGCAGATTTAGAGGGCCTCAGAAACCATGCCTTCCTTAATAAAGTTCCTTATTCCCGGAGCCAAAAATCAATCCATCCTGATGGAGTACTAACAAAGGCCGTTCTTCGCAATTATAAACACCCCCTCAATTATAAACTCCCGCCGGGGAGGGCCTTTTGGTGGTGCCTTTAAAGGCCTTGAAAAGGACAGCAAGCTTTACAAGCCAAGCCTTTCATTGGGAAAGCTCTGGATTCAAAAGAAAAGCAGGCTGTGGGAGCAGAGTCGTTGATTGGAATAACCTACCTATAGCAGCCGTGCCCTTGCTTGCGAAAGCTTCGGCTTTCAAAGGAGGAGGGAGAGGACCGCAGGATCATTGTTCATTGCTGGTACTTTACCAAACGTGCCTTGTCCGCCGGAAGAGCTGGACTCAGAGGCTGTGCTACTACTGCAGTGCTACTGTACTATACTACTGTACTACTGTACTATTGTGATACTACACTACTGTACTACGACGACCGACCCCCCCCTCAATAATCAATCCCCCCCACCCCGGGCGCCAAATCAATCAAGGGGGGGGGGGGAGGGGGGGGTTTATTAATAGGAGGTTGACATTAAACCCTAAAATCCTAAGCCCTAAGCTTTTGATCCCTAAATCCCTAAACCCTAAACCCCTAAACCCTAAACCCCTAAACCCTAAGCCCCTAAACCCTAAGCCCTAATCCCCTCAAAGACCCTCAGCCCGAAGCTTGTGATCCTTAAATCCCAGTTGTGAGCACTAATCCCCTAAACTCTAAAATCCTAAGCCCTAAACCCCTAAACCCTTATAACCCCTAAACCCTACACCCGGAACTGAACCAAAAAACAGCAGCCCTAAATCCCAGTTTGGATACCCTAAATATTATGTGCCGTATTATAATAAGGACCCAAAAATTTGACAACCACCCAAATCCCAGTTGTGAGCCCCAGGCTCCGTTCCAGGTCAGAGCCCGGCCTAGAAGTCTGCCTCTTGGAGGGCTCAGGGTGCCCAGACCTTCCAAGACCCCTTAATTAAGGAATATACCTTAAATTATAGTAGGATCCTTAATATGATTTAAGGTATATTCCTTAATTAAGGGGTTTTGGAGGGCTCAGGGTGTCTTTAGGTTCGGGGGGTTTGTTTAGGGTTTGGGGTTTTGGGTCTTTAGGGTTTTGCTTAGGGTTCATTTCGGGTATGGGGGTTTTGGGGGCTGTTGGATTTAAGGTTTGGGTGTTCGGATTTAGGGTTTGGGTTGGAGTGTACATCTCAGACCTTTGGATTAGAGGTCGCCTTTCGAAGTTCGTATGCGTATGTCTTATTCCTGTGAGTGTGACCTTTTCAGCCCATGGGGGTTTGGGAAGTAGTTTGAAGATCAGCAACCAGACGGCCTCTTCCAGGACATCTTGCAGAATGAGGGTTTAGGGGCTTACGGGTGCCGGGGTCTATTTGGGGGTCTCGGAACCGAGGATTCTGAGTTTAGGAGCGCCGGGATTACAAGCTTCTGGGTGGAGGAGGATTCGTGAGTATCATACTTACAGTCATAGGGGTGGGGTAGAATTGAGTCAGGTCGCGGTCATGACGAGTGCTTTAGCATTTGGACGTGCAATGACAGTGCCCGTGGTCTGGCCTTAACACTCGAAGCGGGGTGGAAGGCGCACTGCAAAGTGTCCCGTTGAATCCGTTAGAAACCTTGCAACCTCCGCTAGCAGTCCGAATATGAAAAGTTCGTCCTGGCGCTCGTCCGCAAGCGAGTTGAATCACCTCGTCAAGGCAAAACTGTGGTACTACAATCTGGGTCCAACGCGAATGTCGCCTACCTCGATGCGATAACTTCGACCCCATTCCAAAAACACCCTAAACCCAAAGCCCAAAAACCAGAAGAACAATAGCACACCCTACACCCTAAACCCTGAACCTAAACCCTATAAACCTTAGAAACCCTAAACCCTAAATCCTAAACACTAGGCGAGCGAGGAGTCCGACCCTTTGATGCAGCGGCTCGTGAAGTTGGAGAGGACTTTGCCGGGTTTGGTGCAGGGCTGTGAAGGGCTCGCAGGGTTTAAAGTTTAGGTCTAGGTCCTCGTGGTCCAGAGTGAGGGTGCGACCAGAACAACGATGAAAGTTTGGGTTTAGGGTTCAAGAGTTACGTTTGGACTGGTTGTGTTGAGGTGAGTGTATTTTTTGCCTTGAAGGGTTCCGGAAGGGCTCTCGGAGCTCTGCCGGTTTTAGCACCTTATGGGTTTAGAGCCTGTTTCAGTTCATAGACCTCCCAGGCTCTGTGTAGTTGAGGGCTTTAGCGCTTTCGGCTTTCGGAGTTAAGGCTTCAGGGTGATACGGGTTGGTGTTCCGGCGTTTCTGCAGAGAGAAGATGGCGCGAGAGTGGATAGAGAGAGAGAGAGAGAGAGATTCAAGGGATCTGTTTTATATGCACCCGGGTTTCTTCTTCGGGGCCCTTGGCCCTGAACCTTAAACCCCAGGGTATGTTGTAATGATTCGACTACTTGGGGTCTGCATTGGGGCTCTCATATTCTGCAACTGGGTCTTCGAGTTGCAGTATCTTCTTTGTATCATACGTTTACTTGCAGAATCACTAGCCTATGATCGGGCTCCTATTGTAGACCCAGGCCAACGAAGCAGGAGGTAATTTTCTACCACCCCAGCTTCCAAACCGTCATCATTCTATCCGCAAAGCCCTAAGCAGCCCCTAGACAGCAAACCGCCACAAAGTCCCGAAGAGCCCATCTGAACGTTAACCCGAAGCAGTTCAGGACTTTCGCCTGTGAGGTTCGGTGATCTTCTGGCCACCATAAAGCAATGCCTCCGTGGCTGGCAAAAGCAGCTAGAGGTCCTTGCAGATAAGAAACGAAAGTTCATCGCCGGAGTGGTAGGGCTTGGTGTCTGGCTGGGCTGTGCGAGGGTTGGCAAACGTTTGACTAGAGTGATACAGGCTCGCTTCATGTTTTAGTTATCCGAAGGGCCCAAGACAAATTGGGCACTGTACTTGTCGGAATTGGGCTGGGTATTTCGAGTCATTTAATTGGGATTACTTCGACTTCGGCCGTGGGAGAACTTTTGAATGTTTTAGGTTTTATTTAATATACCACGGATCTATATACTGGAGAAGTTAGAACCCTGCTTCGTTGTTGAGGGAGAGTTGGGCTTGCCGAGCGAAGCAGAATGCACAAGACTGTCCAACCGAAGACAGCACACATCTGAAGATATAGCGAAGCCGTGAATAAACCCTATAGACCCCAAGCCCTAAACCCTAAACCTTTAAATCGTAAACCCTACAATAAATCCATGGTGGTGGTGGTAGCAACTTGTTCGGTCTGACAAGCTCATCCAGGCGTCCCAAATTGAGCAATAATGATTGGGGGGGGGGCTTTAACTATTACCTATACTGTTCTGCGGGGTCCTCACTATACTCATAGTAAAGTGGGCCCCAAAGCCTATTCTAATTATTCAGGCCCCTACATTACTCCCCACACCATGACGTGAAACCCTATACAGTGCCCCACAGAATTAAGGGCTCTTCCTAACTCAGGGAAGGTTCCTGAAGTGGAGGGTTTCCGAGTCTCTGATATCCTTTAGGCCCCAAACCCTTACTGTGAGCTCTTCACACTCTGCGCTGCTCTTGGCCAGCACCTGGACCCTCGAAGTATGTAGAATAATCGCTTTTTATAGGTTTTGGGCCATTATTTTACCTACATTTGGGGGTCGAGGCATACCGGAGTTACGTCGTTCGAGATCAACAACTGATCTTCGACCCGCAGCTTTTCCGTGTCACCGTGTCACAGAAAAACAGAAGGCCCCACGTGTTCTTGTGCATTTCAGGGATCTTTTACGACGTTTTCAGCGCTCCTATATGAAAACTATGTGTACCCTAGGACCTAAATTATTTGTTGTTGGGGCTCTTGCTCAAAGTTAGAAGGATTTGATCAGGGTCCTCCCATCCTAGCAGCAAGCTGTGCGGTCCTACACTGATAAAGTACAGGAACTCCGTTCAGAAATCACCTAAGCCAGAAGTAGGCCTGAAGCCTTACAAAAGTCCAAACGCTGTCAGCATTCCCTCATGTAGAGGCCTTCGTGATTAGAATGGGTCTCATAGGTTTCCTTGAGAATCAGGGGCCCCTGCGGGTCTGTACGACACAAGGGCTTTAGGGGTTTGATGGTTTAGGTTGCGTGGGCCGAGGGTGTAGGGATTCTGAGATCTTGGAACAAGGATTTCATGATGAAGGTTCCGGAATACTTGGCCTATGCAGACAGGTTTCTGGTTGCTGCTCTGTGGGGCTGGTCTTCGGAACGGAGAGAGTTAACCCTGAACCCGGCTCGTGATCTGGCTGAACTGTTCTTGGATATGGTGTTTGTGGGCCCAAGCGTCGAAACCACAGTGCGCCCAACAACACTAAGCTCAGATAACTACAGTATCTCATTGAGTACCCTAAACCCATCTAAACCCCAAACTTATAGCCTATACCTACACCCACGCCTTGCACCTACACCCAGACTTGACCCTGTAGGGTGAGGCTGTTAAAGCCACAGAGTTCCCAAACCCATCGTTCAGCACATCCAAAGAATCTATCGCTTGCACGTCAAAAACCGAAGAAGCTAAGAACCCAAGTCCCTGAAATCTCGGAGAAATGCTAAACCCTAAACCCCTAAACCCTGAACCCTAAACCATAAACACAAAACAACCGTGAACCCTAAAGCCATGGATCTTGGGCCTGATGCTGGTGTAGAGCTCTACGACTTTCCTACAGGCGCTTCGATGTCGTTGTCCCGTTTTGGGAGTGCTTTCCAGTTGTGCTGCAATAAGACAACCCTACCCGCACAGGCCTTGGGGAAGTTGGTGCACGCGGGTGTCAAATTTCAGAGAGGGAATGCCGAACCACGATATACAGAATCAAATCCTTCTGTCAGCTCCAAGACACCCTGCGCGCTCCGTGATATCAGGCATGGCCCACAAGTTTCGAAAGTTTCCTTGTGTGGCTTGATTTGCCAGGCTTGAACCCTAAACCCTAAACCCTTGAGGCAGGTGTCTGATAGAGAACCCCGCCTTGATTGATGAGTCTTTACAATAGGGCAGGGTAGGGTAGGGTAGGTCGGGTAGGGTAGGGTACCCGTAGGGTAGGGTAGGGTAGGGTATGTCAAGATCTTTTCAAGGGCGCTTTGATAGAGTCCTTATGGCCCTTGATAGTGGGTATTTGGGGTATTCATGGGTAGTTAGGGGGTCTAGGCAAGATCCCCATGCTCATCCGTGTCACGCTGTTTTGGAAGGGAGCTGATTTCTACAGTACCCTGGCCCTTTCTGCTTAAACCCTGAACTCGCAAGCGCAGCCTCCGAAGGAGACGAGGATGGTTTGGGCACTATAGGGGCCTAAATATGTACCTGTACTTTTGTGGGGGCGGTTCCTTGTATAGTTATAGGATAATGGGCCCCCAAACCCAATTCTAATTGTTAAGGCCCTATACTAATCCGCGACCTCAAGAGCAGGCACAATGCTAAGTGTCCCAAGAGGCTGCATGAACAAGGAAAGGGCACAAACACGCAGTGAACCAAGGCTGACAGAACTTGAGCGTGCAAGCCGTTTTCACAACAGTTCGGGGCGCGGGTGGGAGTTTAGCACTGAGGGTTTGGGAAACAGGTTTGGGCTTGGGGTTTTCTTGGAATTTGGATTTAGTAAGTAGCTTTCGGTTTGGGTGTAAGGATTCGGCAGATGTAACTCCCGCACTTCAAGCCTGTCGAACCCTCATCGGCAGTTTTGCCCTTTGCTGCAGGGCGCGGCTTCCGTGCTTTGAAGCCTATTCAAAAGGGCGAGATCTACTTGAAGGCAGAACGCTGACCTTCTGATTCGCGGATTTAGTTTAAGTGTAGATGAGGGCTTATGGCTTGGAGTCTTTTTGTGTGCGTGTGCTTGTGCGTGTGCGCGCGTGTGTGTGTGTGTGTGTGTGTGTGTGTGTGTGTGTGTGTGTGCGTGTGCGTGTGCTTGTGCGTGTGCGTGTGTGTGTGTGTGTGTGTGTGTGGTTTTTTCGTTTAAGGTTTCCAGGCTTTAGTGCTTTGGAGCTTTGGGATCGGCCTTTTGACCCCTTATAAACGTACGGGTTTAGTGTTTGGGGCTTATAGGGGAATAAGACCAATCTTTTCTACAATCATTAATGCCCCGGCACCCCTACCCTAGCTCCTGGATACTTGCCTTCGGTCTCCGGCCTTGAGCTTTGCAGCTGTTCATCAATCCCTGTGCGTTGTATCGACTATTGCACCTGGCTTTGCAGACCCTTCATCAGGGACTCTGGTAGCTGATCTTTTGCACTTGTTATCTTTTAGCCTCATGCCTGAAAACGACGAACCCTACTGCCGCGACCACCAACCAAACTGAAAGAAACCACGCCCTATAGGGCAACCCAACCCAACTCACAACATGATTGTCTCATCACCTCTGCGATGTGCCGCCCGCAAATCAGCATATGTACGCTTCCTTGGCGTGCTTCGAAACTCCGTGTGGATCGTTACCGAGTTGGGGAGCACGAAAGTTTGATGAACATCCCAGGAGGGCCTTTTCAACATCGGCTATACATGCTATCATGATCGCGCGGTAGGATCTTTGTTGAATATCTGCATAACTGGGCCAATATAGGGGTCTAAAACACATAAATACCAATACTATTTTGGGGGTCCCAAAACTCTGTTCTAAATATTAAGGCCCCTCCATTAAGCCCTACAACTCTTGAAGGTGGCCTGGGAGAAGTGCTGGTCAGCCGATGTTGCGCGGCAGCGCTTCGAGGCGAGTTGTACTAGGTCTTGTGGTCCTGTGAAGGTTTCTATCAAGGGATTGATAGGGTTTTGTAGGGTTTAGGACGGGTTCCTTCATAACTGAAATAGAGTTTGGGGGTGTATTCTGTGATCAACACATTGAGGGACTTCAAGGAGTAGTATTCATCTTTTTTTTTTTTTTTCCGGCTGCTTGCTGAACAAGGAGTTTCTGCGGCGGAGAAAGGAAGCAGAACAAGCAGATAACCCTCAAACCTGAGATCCGAATCATAATCGCGCATAGGACCCCAATGAAACGAAGCCCTTAAGCCCTCAATATCAGACGTCAGGTATAGGGTTTAGGACCCCGGAATCGCAAACTTAACGCCTCAGACAAAAAGATTGGAAGAAAGGCCAAAACCCTTGGTTCTTAACTGGAAGAGCCTTTATAAAGCCCAGAAAAGTAACCCTTCTTTAACCCGCGGGACCCTGAAGGGCACACTACAAAACCCGAACCTTTCCTCAGACCCGAAATCTTATAACCCTGTTGTGATCATGATCTCCAGGAGTTGGGACGGCTGGAAGGCTTGGCATCGCCGGACGAGGATGCTTGCTCTTCCGAGATTTGTGTGAGATTCGTTTCGATTTAGCGAAGCTCTTTCGGGATTTTGACTTTCAGGATTTGAGAGTTTTGGTTGAGGATTCAGGATTTAAGTTAGCGGCTAATCTAGTTCAGCCGTCTTACGGGACTATGCGGTTCTACAGCCACTACCCTGAGGCCCCTATAGAGGGGCTTTCTGGGGAAGGTTTCGGCTTGGGGGTCTTGGGTTTGGGATCTCGACTACAAGGGTCCAGGAGCTGTAGGCTGATTTTTCCCAAGGCCTTGGACTGAATTCGGATTGTATGGCTTGAAGACTTACCCTATCCCTCCAGGGACCTCATAGTTAGGGCCCTAGACCCCTTAAGGAACCCATAAGAAGGTCCCTGGAGGCATAGGGTTACTTCACAGGATTACGTGATCAAGAGTTTGCAAATGCAGGAGACACATGGAACTTTTATGTTGAGCACAGTGGGAAGTCAGGACACGATTTGTCGATGACTCAAGTGACTTCAGAGTCTAGGAGCGCCAGTCAATGAGTAAGGGAGTGTCCCGCAGCCTTCAAAATCAAGACACTATGAGCTCTACACACACCGGCGTAGAACTCTTTCGCTGCACGAATAGAACGCACCTTTACAGACCTTCGAAGGCTCTACAGAGCTCTCTTCCAGGAGGCCGGAAGCACGACAAACCTTGAAACCATCAGACTATAAACACCCAACATTAAAAACCCCAAATAGGGCCCGTGTCCCCCATGATCCTTTGGGTTACTGCTTGAACCCTGTATGCTGCCGGGCTGCATGCAAGACAAATGTACCATGTACTTTGGATACCCCGAAATCTGGTGTTCTCTTGTATATCCAAGGTTTCGCATGTTGGACTGACGAGCACGCGATAGGCAGGATAACTTACCTTTTGTTAGTACGGAATGGAGGAATGGGGTACAGTTATAACTGCTATACTACCATTGTTCCATTCCCTACTAACCAAAGGTAAGATAAGCCGGACTTCAAGAAGAGTCGGGACTTCCAAGCTGGTGGCATTTCGAAAATTGCCCAGAACTGTTATGTCCTACAAGCGACAATTTCGACGATATTTCGCCAGCTGCCGCAAACTCGGAGAGAAGCTGAGTCGCTGGCACACGAAACGGTCGCGACGATGAGCAAGTCTTCCAGAATATATGTTTGTGCATGCGTTGTCGTGCCGAGTGACCCCGAAACTTAATAGAAATCCCGACTCTTTGTCAAATAAGCTATGGCACCCCAATAAACCCGCAGATTTACAACACGATAAAGATTCTCGCCCCCCTTTAGGCCCTCGACAAGGAGTCAGCTGTTATAGGCAAAATCAACCTGAAACTATTCACATATGGGCAGTTCTCTCCACCATCTGCCAGGCCCGAGCGTTTATCCGGCTGTTGTGCATTTTTTCTACCATAGCATGAAACAATCCAGCCCGAGCAAAAAGTAAAATAACACGTAGAACATAATGTTGATGGCACAATAGAGGCGTAAAGTACAATATTCTAAAACCTTGAACCCGAAGCCGCAAAGCCATGACGTGTATAGAACCGGTATGGAGCCCTGCAAACATCTCAAACCCTATCGCAAACCTGGCAAACCTCCACAAACCCTTTATCAACCCTTTATGAGGCCCATATAGGCCCTTGGCTCCTTAACCCTAGTCCCCGTGAGCCTTTCAAATCCATGGCTCCTGAGCCTGAGCTCCATTGCTCCTAAACCCTAGCTTTCATAAAGCCAAGTCCTAAACTCCGAAACCCTAGTTCCATACAACCCTAAACTCTAAACACTAAACCCTAAAGGCCCCATTGCACTTAAAAAAAAACACTAAACCCTAAACCGTGGCTCTTCCAGGCTGCGCCCTGAAAAGCCCCCGCCCCTCGGAGCTCGGAGGATGTCATGGCTCTACACCTTCTCCTGGAGCGGGCAAAAGCAGACTCAGGCCTGGCTGTGTTGATTGTGGCCTGTTTTGTGAAGGTTCATGGGCTTATGGTTTAGGGTTTCGTTGGTTCTTCTAGCTGCTTTTTGCAGGCTATGGCACTATCGCGGTATTTTTGCATGCTATAGAGCTGTTGTACAAAGGTTTCGCAAAGCGTTCTTCAAGAAGTAACTTGTTACACCGTCTCGTCAGGGATATGCCGAGTTCGCGAAATGTAGACCCATAAAACGCGGACCCTGCCCTACTCTAGCGGCATTGACACAGTCTCTGATAGACAAGGCTCAATACGCCTGGGAGGTTCGGGCACTTGGATCTCAGGTAAGCCACCCGAGACCTGATGTTTACCGAACCTAACCTCGAGAACTATGCTTCTTAACCCTTGTGTAGGATACAATACGAGTAGTAATTCGGTGGCTTTAAATATTTACGCTGCCTGGAACCTCCAGATATGGCTGTAAACCCTGCTCAAAGCATCAGCGCATGTAGTACCACTACTACTACTACCACCACCGCCACCACCACCACCACCACCACCACCACCACCACGACTACTACTACGACTACTACTACTACTACTACTACTACTACTACTACTACTACGATTACTATATACTACTACTACTACTACTACTACTACTACTACTACTACTACTACGACTACTACTCCTGCTGCTGCTGCTACTACTACTACTACTACTACGATTACTATATACTACTACTACTACTACTACTACTACTACTACTACTACTACTACTACTACTACGACTACTACTCCTGCTGCTGCTGCTACTACTACTACTACTACTACTACTACTACTACTACTACTACTACTTGTACTGCTACTACTACTACTACTACTACTACTACTGCTACTACTACTACTACTACGACTACTACTACTGCTACTAGTAGCCACTGCAACTGCCACTCTGCTGCCACTGCCGCTACTGCTGCTGTTGCTACCGGCTCTACTACCACCAAACTCGCCGCTTCAGGGTGGAACGCCGAGCACATGAGGGCCTTACCAAGGACCGATTGTGCAGAACTCGGATTCTATAGGGTTCCTCTATACGGTGTTCATGGGCTTCATACTTTCACTTGTTTACAGGGCTTTGGTAGGGTGAAAACAGTTCTTCTCAGGCTTGGATGTGGGCTCATAGAGGGCTCTAAATGTATTTCTCCAGGCTCTTATGTTTGTGTTTGCTCCTGAGGAAACCGCCACGTGGAAGCGTCAAATCATCGATGTGATGGAACGGTCTTTGCAGTGCTTACTGGCGACTAACTTGTCTGTTTCACACTTTACACACTACATAACTGTTACATAACTACATGTCTTTGTTGCTCTGTCAAACATCATCAAGTTTTCAGCGAAACCTGCGGCGGCGGTGCAAGGCCAGCCGGAGGCAGGATAGGTCGTGTTCGCCACGGTAGCTCGATCACGCGATGCTTCTGCAATATTTTTCAGCGTTCCACTTCTTGCTCTGACGGGCAGGCGTTTCAACCCGAAGGGCTTTCAATGATACTTACGGGCATGAGAGAGGAGAGGGCAAGGCTTGCAAGATGCATGCCGTAGCCTTAAGATGCAGATAACGGTGTGTCTTGGGCTCTCAAGGTTTAGGGCTTCAGGGTTCGGGTTTTTTCAGGGGATGGCCTTAAAGGGTTATCGCAGCAGCGCAGACAGCGGAGTTTCCCGGCGAAAAGTGCAAACAGAACATCCCACGCTCTCAAACCCGACTCTAAACGCCTGCGAACCTTTGCCCAGTCACTGAAGCTTGTATTTAAGAAAAATCTAAGCCCAGTTGCCTCGGAGGACCTTTGACATGCTCCCACACTGGTCCGAGGCATCCAGACTTTACTTACCGGGTTTCTGTTGAGATTCAGGGTTCAGGGTTTACCGCATGATGGATTTGTCGGGTTCCACGTAATTTTCGTGTTAGGTATAGCCCCACCGGACGGCGATGGATAGAATTTGGGGATTTTTTTCAGAAGAGCCTGTCACTACATTGCAAACACATATGACATGCATATTCAGGGACATCCATCCTCGAAGAACACTAAACCCTAAGTCCAACTAAGCCCTTCAACCCCACAGTCGCGGGTGGTGTCGGGGGCGCTTTGGGACCCAGGAGGAAACTCCTCTGCCGCTGCAAGACGTCCCAAGTCCTTAACCGTCCTTTTCCGAGATCAGTAGACCCTGGCCCTGAAGCCTTGATCCCTGGAATCCCTAAACCCAAGACCCTAAACCCCGGTTTAGGGTTTAGGGTTTAGGGTTTAGGGAACCCATACTTAAAATCCCCAGCCCTACAACCGTGGCACCAGGCGCCCGGAACCTCAACACCGGTCACCAAATGCAGGAACACTGGGAACAAAACACTAGAGCAGCAGCCTCAACCCTGAAAGCCCCCCCCCCCACAAAAAACAAGCCTAAACCCTATAAGCCCTAAATAACTCTAAACCACTAATCCCTAAACCCTAAACTGTAAGACTTTAGAAACCAATAGCAAAAGCAGGCAGAGCTCGCCCAGCTCGGCGAGCCGGACCTACAGAACACAGCGCGACGTCTGCAGCAACAGGCGCTGGAGACTGTCGACGGTGTAAGATTGAGGCCTTAGGGTTTAGGGGTTAGTGTTTGTAGGGTTTAGGGTTAGGATGTAGAGTTGAAGGTTTATAGGGCCTTATAGGGTTTAGGGGTTATAGGGTTTAGAGTTTAAGGCTTATAGGGTTCATGGGGCCTCAGGGTTAAGGGCCAGAGTCTAGGGTTCAGAGTTCAGGGTTTAGAGGAGAAAAAGGGCCTAGGGGAATATAGGGGCATTGAAAGTTTACCTCTACTATTTTGGGTGGGTTCCTGGTTGCAAAACCCTGTTTTGATTATTAAGGCCGCTATACTATCTTTCTACGACAGTGTTTTTGCAATTCTCTACGGGGTTCTTGAACAGTTCCGGGGGGGTGTCTTCAGAATGGTTTTTTGGTATTTATACAGGTGTTCCTTGAAGGGGTTCCGAACCCAAAAAGCTCAGGGTGCTTCAGGTTTTGAGTTTAGGCGCTGCGGGGTTTGCTCACTGCAGGGCCAGATGCGAGAAGGTTTAGTAGACAGTCTTGGCCCATAGGGGCTGGCGTTTCAGCGGCAGCCACCGCGAGTATATCTCAGAGTCTTCAGTCTCCGTGAGCCAATGAGGCCCTATAGTTCCTCATGTATAAGAGGACCTCAAGCGCAACAAGTCAATAGATTGGACAAAATATTCAGCACAGAACGAACCTTTCGCCTCAAACCTCCTCCGGCCCCTAAGTGATAACCTGAACCACTGAACCCCAATCCTTTGCACCCTATAACCCTAAACCCCAAACCCCTGGGCAAGCGAAGGTGCGAGACGACTTCAACACTCTCCTCCGCTCTGCCGCTGCGCAGGGCTGCGAGGACCTACTCAAGGCGCCTGGGAGGTTGTTTTTCGTTTTATTTTTTGTCCAACAGGTTTAGGGCTGAATTATGTTGTCTAGGGTTCAGGGGTTCGGGTGTTTTTTTGTTTGTTTGTTTTATTTTAGGGTTGAGTTAGTGGGTTTAAGTTTTTTACTACTAGGGGTTTACGTTATAGAGCTTCGTTCTGCGAAGCCTGCATAGCCACCGTCAGCGACCATAAGCTTTCGAGGAATCAAAGGATCTTTGGGGGGCTCGGGGTAGAAGCTCACTGGCCAAGATTTGCATGTTCGGTCTAGAACTAGATTGAAACCCTGCTTACGTGTCTCGAATTTCCACTGAGTTCTTACGGCAGACATTTCTCAGTTATGGTTTGTTGGGCTTTCTAAGGACACTCATCGAATTCTCCAGTTTGATTTGGGAGTAGGTTCGTCAAGGCACTTACTGCCAAGGCAGTCGCTGCGGCATGTGCGATGTCTCATGCTCTAACTGTAGTCTGCTGCGGCAGATCCTTTCGGAGCTGTGTGCTGAGAAGCTGTTCGTAGCCGGTTGGCTCTTGGTCGGGTGGTCGTCAAATGACGATGGGGAGCATGCTGCGACGATTGCTTCCGATAGCCCCCCTGGCCTATCACCTGGACCAACTAAACGCGATTCACCTGTGAGTGCTGCTGGTCTGAAAACCTTGCGGGCATGGCAGTGCGCGGTGTATGCGTGTTTTTGTTTGTGGGATGGCCCCCATTTCCTAAGCTTCTTCGTTCATCCTGACAACTAATCTGGAATTGCTGCTGAGAGGGGGCTCTCACGTCAGCTTTCCTTTGAGGGTAAGCAGGTGGTCAACATAGGTGTCTGAACAATGCGTGAACAATGGTATCCCGGTGCAGTCCCCTCTCTCTCTCTCTCTCTCTCTCTCTCTCTCTCTCTCTCTCTCTCTCTATTATATGTCTAAGTCTATATGTATATAATATGCAGATACACACACACACACATATGTAAACACCAAGACCCTCCTGTAGCAGGTACAGCGAAGCCTAAGCTGTACCCCAACGTGCTTCAAAAGTGCAGGAAAGCGGCGTGGACTTCGATTCCTACTTATGGGCCAAGTCAGCCGAACAGCTGAATTGGCTACCTGCAATCGAGATTCGAGTTTCGGTTGAGCTGTTTGGATTGAATGTGCAAGCAGTTGAAGATGTATTTCTTAGTTAGAGATGCTAAAAACCTCTAACTTAAGGACTATACGCTAAAGCAGTAAAGCATATAGAGTCTGAGGGTTACAATGGGATCTATTGAGGGGTCTGTGGGTACAGGGCGCTTAGTGATTTCGGGACAGCAATCCCCACATGCCTCTCGACCCTCCAGCCAAGCCCCAGTCTCGAAACTATGGAAGTTTGGCTTTATAGGGTTTAAGGTCATCGTCCTCGATTCTAAAACCTTAAGTTAAAACCCTAAGGCCCTGAAGCCATGAAGCCCCGACAGACTGACAGCCCAAAGCCCTAGACCCAAAGCCCCAAGAGCGCTTGAGTTCCATAAAACAAGAGCATGATGCTAAATTGCTTAACCCTGAACCCTAGAAACCTTGAAACCCCTTAAGCCGTAAACCCCTAAGCCCTAGGCCCCATAAACCCTAACAGCCCCAAGCCCCAAACCTTAACCCCTGAACCTTAACCCTACCTTAGGTTTTATGGAGTCGGTGTGTCGACTTCTCCAAAGAGCTCGTGGAAGCCGCAGGCCTGCTTTCGGCGGTTTGATTTTTGAGCTTTGTGTCGACGCCGGAATAAATACCAACTCTTGTATTCTATTCCTTGGAGTCCCTTTTATTAGGGTCATACTAGAAAGGGACCAAAACCCGATTCTAACGATAAAGGCCTCCATATTAACTGCCTGAAGTTTAGGGCTTGTGGGTGTCGAGAGCTTGGGGTTAGGAGTTGGGGTCTAGGGCTCAGAAAGTTAAGGGTGAAGGGTTTCACGAATTCGGATCTGGGGTCTAGGTTTGGGGGCTTCAAGGAAAGATTTGGAAGTTTCCGAAAATTAGGGGTATCGTATTTTGGGATCCTTGTAATAGGGTTGCTACTATTTAGGGGTGCTAAATAATAAGGGTCCTCTATTTTCGGAAACTCCCATTTTGATGTTGGGTGCTGTAAGGGTGACAACAGGGTTGCGTATGCGGTTACATGCGGACGGACTCTCTGCACTTTATGGGGGTTCTGCAAGGGGCTAGGATCAAGGTTTCCAAAGTCGATACATTGGGGTTTTGGTGTGGTTGATTGGGATTTTGGGACAGCTGGGGACTTGGGGTTCGGGATTTCGTGCTTCAGGTTTAGTGTTTACCCATAGGCTCCAAAGTAGTTCCTTTTTGGGGGTCTCAGATTTAGAATCCTATAAGGTAGCCCCAAGAAGGAGCTACTTTGGAGCCTCTGGGTAACTATTGGGTTTGGACTAGGGTTTTGAGCTGAAGTACTAAAGAACCGTCTTGGCAACACCATCTGGATGCCGTGCAGGGACATGTCTGCGTGTCGACGTGGCTGCAGCAGCCCAGGGCGCGAATTAAGTACACTGGGTTCTTTTGAAGACTCCTGGATTTAGACCTTATAACCCCAGGTCCTGAGCCCTAATCACGCTACCTGCAACCGAAACTTATCCCATGGAGGCACTCGAAAGAGCGAAACGCACCAGGGGCAATTCCTCCTGGCCACCATCAGTCGAATGGCTTAACAGAGTGTATGAACAAGGTGCTCGCTAGATTTCGCACACGGTCGGAGTCCGTGCCCGTCTGCCGGCTGCGGTTCTCACTTGATTACAATGCTTACAACAACTCGCGTTTGAGCAAGTTTGTGGCGGGTCATGCGGCCTCTGCGGTCAGATGGCGCAGCGTGGGTCTCAGACATATTCTGTCAGGCACGACGCTAGGGACTAAACTCCCTGCCCTACCGCCGGAACCCCTGCCCGAAACCCTCAGACACCGGCGATGAAGTCGTTCCGTTTGAGTCTGGGATTTGTATAGTCGGTCCCGGTTGTTGAAGGAGACAGCTACAACTTAAAAATGACTGTCCCCTTCTGGCCCCCGTCACAACCATGAAACCCGAGTCCCATCATTAAGTGCCCTCCCGCTATAAAACCCTGTCGAACCTAGAACGCCGAAAAAGGCTGTCGAACCCTTCATGAAGCCTTTATGAACCGTGCGAAACCCCTGCAAGGCCCTGCAACAGCCTGACAAGCCCAATTGAAAACCCTGTACATAAAGCCCTATTCTGGCTTACGAGGCCCCTGTTTACTTGGAAGACTCCTAACATCACCTAAACCCTAAGACCCTATAAGACCCTATAAGACCCTAAGCCCTAAAACCCTAAACCCCAAAACCCTAAACCCTAAGACTCTAAACCCTAAACCCTAAGACTCTAAACCCTAAAACCCTAAAACCCTAAACTCTAAGACTCTAAACCCCAAACCTTAAGATCCTAAACGCTAAGGCCCTAAGACTCTAAACCCTAAACCCTAAGACTCTAAACCCCAAACCTTAAGATCCTAAACGCTGAGGCCCCAAGACTCTAAACCCTAAGCCCTAAGACTCTAAACCCCAAACCTTAAGATCCTAAACCCTAAGGCTCTAAGACTCTAAAACCCTAAACCCATTGTTAAAGAAGAAAAAGATGCAGAGAAGCCTGTGAGGGCTCCCAGTGAAAGCTGGCCGGGAGCATCAGCGGCTGCTGGTGCCCGGCTTCGACATGGCGAACCACGATCCCAGGCTCGGGTTTAGGGTTTAGGGTTTAGTAATTTAGGGTTTTGGGGTTTTGGGTTTGGGGTTTAGGGTTCAGGGTTTAGAGTTCAGGGCTTAGGGCGTAGGGTTTAGGGCTTAGGGTTCAGGGTTTAGGGTTTAGGGTTCAGGGTTTAGGGTTTATAGGGTTTAGTAATTTAGGGTTTGGGGTTTAGGGTTTAGGGCTTAGGTTTTGGGTGTAGGTTTAGGTTTTATATCCATCGTCAGGGATGCCTATAAGGTTTTGCAGTTTAGGGTTTAAGGTTTAGGATAGATTGCACCTGTATGATTCCGGGCTGGGTTTAGGGTTTCGGGGTCTTCCGTTTCATCCTCAGAGGGTGGTACCTTCAGATGTATGTTTTAACAGCTATTATTGGGGTTGGGACAGTTTTTTTTATTGCTTTGGTCATGATTGGAATATTTTTATCATCAGAGTGGAGGGCACCTGTACTTGGTCTTAGGGGGACCAAGTCAGCAGGATTTGGCTGCATGACGGCAAACATGTGTTTAACCGAAAAAAGATAGTGACAGTATGTGGCCCTGTTAACATAAATCCAGCAGCATCGCTGCTTGTGCCGAGCTTTGTGCCACAATCCGGCGGTGGAGGCAGCTATGCGCAGCAATCGGTGTGGGTTCAGCAGGCCATGATTCTGGAGGGGTCAGGACAGGAGCTGATGCCACCCACAGAAGGTTAGAAATTTCACTTCAAATCGAAACTCCAAGAACTTCACTCTTAACCCTGCAATCCTGATCCCTGTAAACCCATCAACTTCTACATTATGTGTTCGACCTTCTGCGCAGGCTTGCGGGCACCGGCCGCACTCACACCGTGCTGAAGGAGCTGCTGAACACGGCAAGTGATTATAAGGGTCCTGTTTATAAATTTCTTGCTCAACGTAAGGCTCTAAAGGGGTGCTATCAGCTTAGGTTTTCCAGCTTTTAGAGTTTATGGTTCAGGTTTTCGGCTAAGTATGGTTTAAGGTTCAGGATTTAGTCTTTTGGTTAAAGGCTTGTGGGCCATATGGGGCTTACAGCATTTCAGGCGTGAGGTTTAGAGTTTTGGGTTTGGGTTTGAGGATTCATGACAAGGTTGGTGGCTTTGCTTGAGATTCGAGTTTGTAGTACCTAGTGACCACGAGGTTACACAACTACTTGTACTACTTCTTCTACTTCTACTTCTACTTCTACACTTCCACTTCTACTTCTACGAAGACGACGACCACCACTACGATGACCACAGCCACTGCTTGCGGCTAGCTTTGTGAGGACGGCAGCGTGGCCTTGCAAGCATCCGTGGACTACGCTGCGGGCGAGGAGGCTGGAGACCCCGGCTCATCAGCTCAGCAAGTAAGTAACTTTACATTAATAGAGGTGCCTTAATCTATACCCATACTACTTTGGGGCGTCCTTCTTAATTATAGTTATTAGGACAATGGGCTCCAAAACCCTATTCGAATTATTAAGGCCCCTACAATGATAACTTTCAGCTTCTCTGGAAAACCGTACAGTGGCTGTTTCTGGCTGCTATACCAAGAGCCTGCCTACTTGGGATTTATCCAGGAGGACAGCAAGGCTCTCAACCCTGGTTCGAAATTTGTGCTCTAACAGTTGCAAACTTTCACTTAGCTCACCTCTTTGGACCTTCTGGCCATAAGTATCTACTTTGGACCTTCATCCTGAGCCCAACAGCAAGCCTCAAGTCCTGCGTCCCAAAGCCAAAACGGACTAAATCGAAAAAGCCCTGCAAACTGCCCTGAATCCGAGACACAAACCGCCGAATTTTTCAAGAACCCATGCATGGTCCCACAACCCGAAAGGCTCGAGTAGCTCGACCAGCCCGCGCAGGTGTGCATCTTCTACGAGAGAGCAGTCCTTGGGCACATGTACTTTAGTAGTCATTTTCTTTATGTTGGTCGCAGGAGGGGGGTTGTAGGGGTGGTGTAGGGGTTTGGGGGTGTAGGGGTTAAGTCTAAGTGCTTAAGGCACGTTTGCTTCAGTAGATTTTGTAGATTTGTTGAGCGGGGGCACGGGCACGACGCTGGTTTTCCTACATGTCTAGAAGCTTTTCTGATGGACTTGGACGGGTTGCATTGTATGAATTTACATCGGCTTTCCCCCAGACCTTATAGAGTCATTCTCGGGGTTGTTGGTGTGACGTCGGGCATCGGGTTGTGGATCAAGGGAAAATGGAAGGGCATCTGCTTAATGTAGGAGCCTAACTACCTAATCATTCTAGTCACAGTCCTGAGGACTCCTTTCATCCTAATCCCCACAATCCGATTAGAGAGATTACGGGCCCCCAATTCTGTGTTGCGGTGTTAGGGTTTACGGTTTTGGGCTGCTGAATGTGCTATCGCCACTGTGTGTCCAGCTTCTCCAAAGATAAGGAGCTCCCAATTCCGAGTCATAAAAAGCTGAGATCCAACCAGACCCGGAGAGCCATCATTAGATAGGGGCCTTAGTAAATTTGACTAGGGCTTGGGGTTTTTGATCCTACATGTATAATGCGCTCTGATTATTCAGGCTCCGATGTTACATGTGTAACTCTCTGAATCAGGATCCGCAGTACGGGCATCATGAGAACTGTGATGCACCTTGTGGGAACCCTGAACCCCAAGCCCCCAAACCGGCACACTCTGTCCTCAAATCGGAACCGCCCGCACCTTCAGTTGAATATCATATGGGAGTTGTTCTAAATTATGGTCCCTTTTTGGGCCCTATAGTAGTATAGTCCTTATTATATAGGGTACCCAAAAAAGGGACCATAATTTAGAACAGCCCCCATATATCTTTCGCCTGACACCCTTCAGCCTGAAACCCCCGAAGCCCTAAATCCTCACACCTAGTGCCTCAAATCCTACGCCCTGGTGAAATGACCCTAACTTGCGCCCAGGATAACCACCGATTGCTGCTGTGGCAACTTGGCTCTCGCCGTCATACTTGGGCTTTAAGGTCGAATCCCTAAACCCTAAACCCTAAACCGAATAGGCTTAGGGTTTTTTTCGGAAATAGGCGTGGGTTTTGGGCCATCGGCTTAGGATCTGGGTTTCGGACTTCGGGTTTTGTGGTTGGAGGTTCGGGGCTTGGGGTGGGGGGTTTAGGGCTTGAGCTTTGGGGTTTAGGGTTTAGGGCTTGGGGTTGAGGGTTTAGGTTGAAGGTTGAATACTTTCCTTGAAGATTAGATCTGAGGGTTCCCGATTCATAGTCATGCTAATGTAATTATAGTCATTGTTGTAATTATCGTAAGTATACCTAGTAAGGCCCCTATCGTCTACTCTCTGCGCTAATTATCAAGGCCCCTCTAGCACACCCTATTCCAGCTAAGGCCCCTGTGTTCGGATTTCAGGATAGGGTCTGTGGTGCTGGGGCTTTCCTTTCACGATTACCGGATCAGGTCAAGTGTTGTGGTTTAAATGGCGGTATCGGGGTCGGAACACTTGGAAACAATCTTCCCGATTACAGGCATAGAGCTATGTACCGCAAGACCCTATCTAAGCATTAAGGCACCTGCATTACATGGTATGCCGTCGATCTCGACTCGCGAATGAAAAGCAGGACCTCAACCCTAAACCCCAAAACCCTACATCCCTAAACCCTTAAAATCCCAGCTGGAAGTGAGTCCAGAGCCTACAGAGTGAGCAGTTGGCTGAAGGTGTTAGCCTTTAGGTTTTGGAGCTCGGGGTATTCTGATCCCGGTATCATCCCACAGGTTCATCTTTAGCTCCCTTGACATACCGGACAAGTCAGGTTAAAGCCCGAAGCGGCCTCCCTGATCCGACCACAGAAGCCGATGCTAATTCCCCATGGACGCCCTTCTAGAAACCCCCAAAAGAATCCTTTCAAGGAGCCGGTGGCCCCATCATACAGAAACCCCAAGAGAACTCTGTAAAGGAAGTGGTCGCCCCTTGTAGAAACTTCAAAAGAGTCCTTTAACAGGAGAGGAATCCCTCAAGGAACCCAGTTACTGAGGTATGGCTTCGTCCTTCCTGACAACCCGTTCGATGCGGCTCAGATGAGGCTCCTTTGAGGGTTTAGGGTATAGGGTTTATAGACTGTAGGGTTTAGAGTTTAGGATTTTGAATATGAAGTAGGTTTAGGGTTCAGGGTGTAGGAGTTCAGGAGGGGTTCAGGGCGTGGAGTGAAGGGTTTGGGAGTTGAAAATGAAGTAGGTTTAGGGTGTAGGGTTTAGAGTTTCGGAGTTTGAGTATGAAGTAGGTTTAGGGTTCAGGGCTTCAAGGTTCATTCTCGGGTTTTGGTGGATGTACAGTACACAGGGTTCCCTATGAGAACTGATGAGTGCATCTGTATTCAAGCGCGAGGGTGCTAGTAGTCAAGCTCCTACCCTAAACCCTGAACCCTAAAATGATTAGGCGGCCATACATGGTGTATCGAACCTCGGGGATTTTGATCACAAAACAGCCGTAAGTTGAGGGCTTTTGAACAAATTGCTTGAGGTCTTGGCCTGAAGCGACTATAATGGGCCTACATTGGGGAGATGACTGTGAGTTATTCAGACCCCTTGTCAACTTTAAGTGGCCTAATCAACATGCGTCCGGAGCATCTTTGGGCCTTGAAAAAATCCTTACAGAAGCTTGGCATTCTTGAAAAAGCAGTAGGGGTACCATATTGCGTGTCCTTGTTTATACGGTGCAGAACAAGGTCGGATAGTTCATTTTGGTTATGATGGGGCTTCTGCTTCATCTGCACCTGGATCTCAAATTTGGCTTCACATGCAGAGCAGAATACACGCGAAAGCCTCGAGCATCCCAAGCCCAAGAGCCTGTTTGCTTGAGGCTTCCAGTGCCTGCACAAGCCGGCAAGAGGCAGCTGCTTCCGGATTGGAGGTTTTGGGTTTGGGGGTTTAGGCTTTCAGAGCTCCGCTTTTCATCATGACGGCTTCAAGTCTGGCGTAGACGTTCACGATTTCGGGGTCTATAGGGTTTAAAAGACTTTGCAATTCACGCTTTACGCCTTCTGTGCGGTTTGAAATGTTCAACTGTTTCAGGGGATCCCGCCCGCAAAAAAAAGCTTACTTTGAACGAAGGATAATTTCTACTCCTGATTCGAATTGGCCCCCCAAGCCTCACGTAGGAAACTCACAGACTCAGCAGCGCTAGGATGAGCATGGGTGTACAGTGGTCGTGTTCTACTATGCTGACCGATTTGTAATATGCTATACTTTACTATACTGATTATCTGCTCTCCAATGCAACGTGATCATCCAAACAGACAAGCGAGCAGTACTTCATCCCGAAATGCGCGTCATTTTGAGGTTCAAACCCAGCCGGTGTTCGTAAGCATCGCATCCTTCACCGACGCAGACCAGCGCGGCTAAGAGCAGCCCGGTCCCCTGCAGCACTGCACCGTCATGAACCTCTGCCAAGGGCTCCCGTAATTAATAATCATATACCCTCCAAAATCCTAACAACCTAATTATTAGGCCCTTTGGACCCTTGAACCTCCAGCCATTCGGCCCTTGCCCGTGAACCCTGAACCCCTGACCTTTGAGCCCCCCAGCACCCAAAGTGTTGAATGCTTAAACCCCTTATGAATGTGAGCCCTTCAGCTACACCTAAACAAAGTTCAATCCGAAACAACCCCCCCAAAAAAAAAACCTAGACTCCTAGAGACCTAAACCTAAAATCTTGAAACCTTACGCCATAAAGCCACAGACCAAACCTAGAAGAGTGCGAAGCATCTCTGCGAGGTTGGAGGCGGCAGGGGCTGTCATGGAATCCGCGAACGGGCAGGCCTGCTTCTGATTATGATCGAAATTTGTTCGATAGCGATCCTCGTGGTTTCGATTTTATGTTTCGGTTCATCTTCAGTCTTGTTTATGCATATGTCTTAGTCTCCATTTATATGTGAAAACATACAGAAAGAGAAACAGTTACTCATGTGTGTATATGCGCTTATCTCCAATGTTTCTTAGTTCCTGGAACTAATCCATTCCCCCATTTGTTGAAGACCCCCTAATGATAAAAAACGCTTTGGGGCCAATCCTCCCGAAATCACCCCTGCCCTTTAAAACCTAATTTGCATTTGTCCGGAGCAAGAGCAAAGGCAAGAGCAAGAGCTGGAGCAAGAGCAAAAGCAAGAGCAAAAATAGGAGCACAAGCAGGAGGAAGAGCAGGAGCAACAGCAAGAGCAGGAGCAGGCGCAGGAGCAAGAGCAAGAGCTCTCAAAGCGACAGTAAAGATACGAATTAATGCCCGCTAGTAATGAAAACGCTTTCCGAGTTTTTGATGGGGGGGGCCTTTGTACCTTCGGGATTGGAGTGAATGTGTTGGAGTTGAAGCCATGTCGGTAAAGCTAGAGATGGCTACAGCCTGATGCGTTTGTTGTCGATCCAAGCAAATCGATCGTACAACATACCGTGAAGCTATACTATACAACTGAGGGTACACTCCTAAGGGTCGGCAGTATGGTCTTCAACACCTCCACGGCTGAACAAACACTGTACAAATCCTATAAACTTTCTATTGATCGATAGTTTACCCTAGACCCTACAACTCGCAGTTTACGGGTTTGGGGGCTCTCCTGGAAGCTCCAGACTAGGTGTACGCACGCTGCCAGATGACACTAGCAGATCCGGTACCGGAGGCCGTGGTCTGTACGGCTTACTAGTTCTGGGTTTTCGGGTCTGACAGTTTCGGTTCTGCAGGTTTCGGGGTCAGGGCGGAGGGTTCAGGGTTTAGGTTTTGAGGGGGGGGAGGGTTCAGGATTGTGGGATTCAGCTGATTCAGGGGTTTAGGGTTTTCGGGCCTGCTGAGGCTTACAGTGTTGAAGTTTTAGGTTGTTGGGTTTTAAGGTTTTTGTTTTTTTTTTGTCCTAGGGCTTTGAGGTTTAAGTTTTGGTGTTAAGGTTCAGGTTCTGGTTTGGGGTCTTCGGGTTCAGCTTAGCCCACAGAAGCAAAGGACTGCAGACTTGCATTCAACGTGATCGTCTTCTGGTGTCCGATGCAAGACTTCGAGCATTTATCAAGTAGCCCTGTTTGGGGCCGATGGTGTCGCCTGGTTCCCCAAACCCTGTGCTCCCAGCCATTGAAGGGGAAGCCCAAGTTTCTGTTGGAGCGGCTGAGGGTTTAGGTAAGGTGTATTTATGGGTGTCAAACACGAGTTGGCAGCTTTTACTTGTTTAAGGTAAAAGCCAGAAAGTTGGAATATGATTATCCTAACCCTTCTATGGCAAATTATAAGGTATCCTACCCTGAAACCATATTCCAACTTTCTGGAGTTCCCTTTAGCCGTATCATGTCAAGGAGTTGGCTTCTGATGAGAGGGGCATGGCTAAGGATGATGTTGAACATAGTCTCGTGTTGCCTCGGTCCCTAAAAGCCCGTAACCCTATAACCCCCAAAGCCCCAAAACCTAAAGCATAATCCGTAGCTCTAAGCCCGAAAGCTTTGCTTTCAGTATTCAGTTTATTGAGGCCTAGGCCTTAGCGACCAGTGTTGGGTTTCTGAGAAGTGTTCAGGAGATGTCGGGCAAAGGTCCGCTCAGATCCCTCGTAGAGCCTTGAATTCCAGTGAGCCCCTTTATAGAAACCTGGCAGTCGTGCCCTTATAGAACCCTTATTAGAGGAACCTGACCTTACAACAAATTCTGAAAAAAAGCTTCTAGTCGTTCTACTTCAAACCAAACCCGAAGCACGAAAACTCAAGCCTCACACCCCCAAACCCAGGACACGAAACCCCAGTACAGACGCTAAAACCTCAACTCTCTCAGGAACCCCTTTACCCTCAAGCCTGCAAATTCGGCTTGTTAAACCCTTGAACGAACCTTTCGGGGCAGGTCGCTATCTTGGCAGCCGCCTTCTGCCAGCAAACGCTGCCGGCGGATAGCAGCGAAGCCCTCACGGCCCGGCAGGACCGCGACCGCAATATTCGGGCTTCAGAGTATTTTAAAAATGAATAAACAGATAAGTAAATCAGTTTTTATGAGGAGAGAGAGTATAGAGGGTGTCATATAGGGGCTCTGAGCGTTTTGGAGTACGTGAACGAAGCAGTAGCCATATATCCTGACACGCTATGTAACAAGGACCATAATGACTACTCTGCCAACACTTGACTGTTCCAATTGAGAGAGCCCCTTGATGGCGGCACCCTTTAAATCCTTAATTACAACGCCTCAAGACACCTAAACCCAGAACCCCACTAGGGACCCGAAAACCTTGTCAGGATCCTTCAAACTATCAAAAAGGAGCCCTTTTTTCGACACAGGAGCTCGAATCCTTGAGATTGCTGCAGAAGTCCATACCGAAGCTGCAGGTTCGACTTTCTGATGGTTTTACGGGTCTTGAGGGTTTAGGGCTTATAAAGGGTTTAGGTGGTTGAGGGTTTACGGTTATGAGGGGTTTAGGGGTTTTGGAGTTTACGGCTGCCCTCCTATTTTGCTTGACCGTCCACTGAGCAGCCTAGATATATGTGCATCTTCATCTTTAGAGTAGCTTCGGTTAGTACTGTCTGTAACTTTGACTACAAGGGATACCATTTGTATTTATTCACCTACATTTCCTTTCGGATGCAAGGTGCCTCTACGCTCATACCGAGCCCACCTACTGTTCCGTATATTATCAGGTCCTAGCCATGAAGCTTGGTACCTTAAAAGAGGGGTAGGGTCGAGGTTCGACTTGGGCATTAGCAGGTTGACGGCTTAGCGGCGTGTGGATTTAGGGTTCAGGGTCCAGACTTTAGCCCCAAACTTTAGCGATAATTGCAACAAGCTGGGGTATCTGATATGCAACTCTGTGGAGGAGGTTTGTGACTGGGGATAGGTGCACGATATTGGTCTCGGGCTTCTGTGGCGGCCTGGGGTTCGACTTAATTCTACTTCATCAAGAGGTCTGACTCCTTAACTAGGATGAAATACATATTTTTCTGTAGCCAGACGTACAGGGGCCTGCTACCTGGCGTGCACAAGGACCTACATGATCATTTATGATTAGTTACTGGAGCGTTTCGCACATGGACCATTAGGGCTGCCCGTAAACCCCTGAACCTCAAGCTCTCTCCACACCTGAGTCCTAACCTTATAACTTACCTTTGGTTAGTAGGGAATGGAAGAAGGGTAGTAATAGCAGGTATAACTATGCCCCATTCCTCCATTCCCACTAACCAAAGGTAAGACAAACGGTCCGTATACCCTCAGGGTCCATGTATTCATCTAGTATATACATTGGCCTTAATGTAGTCCCTATAAAGGTACTTTGGGGCTCATGTAGTCCCTATAAAGGTACTTTGGACCCTTAGGGTATAGTGCACGGAACTTCAGGGCAGCGAGCCGACCTTGCCGTCCCCCACGGCGTGGCGACGGCCTGGGGCCCATGGTTGATGAGAAAGCTTGGGCTACTGTTGTTGTTCTCGTCTTTCTCTAACTATGAATCTATGCCTACCTTGTTTTTACCCTAATAAGGGTCCAAGTACCCAATAAGCATGCCCCCCATAGGAACCTACATAAGTACTATCCTAAACCCAAGTACCTGATCATTGGGTCCTTTGGAGCCTTGGGGTCAGGGGAAAGCGAGGATGTTGCCCGGCTGTGCTTGAAGGTCCCCACTTCAGGATATTTAAGGCTTGCTCAGCTGTCCTTAAGTGTATGGCTTTGTAGCAGGAGCGAGGAGCTGAAGGATGTACGGAGTTTGCAAGGATGCCTTCAGCAAGCAAGCAACATGTATACTGTATAGTTAGTTCAAGCGCTGGTGTGTTTGGGATTTCGTGCTGGCTTAGCTCAAGGGCGGGGGCTTGATTCAGTGGTTTGTGGATGCAGATTAAGTAACTAGTTGTGCTGAGGCCGACCTAACCCTAGAAAACCTACCTTTCTTGGGTTGCTTATTGGTTATGATTTCCTCAAAAAGGTCTTTAAGCCGGTAGGTTATTTACTGTTCAGGTAGACAGTCAGGCAACAGCCCAGAAGTCCTGTAGCCCTGTCCTGGGTTAAGGGTTTGGGCTACCTGAGGTACTGTGCTGCCGTGGTTTGCAGCTTCACACCGCGTCTCCAGGCCCTCTCGAAGATCTCGTTCTGGAGCTCGTGTTTGTGAGGGGTTGGGCACACTCCAACATGTTGCTTGTTGGATCGTATGATGTTCATGTCCGGATACCTAGTGTTCTAGCCAAGAAAGAATCACATTGGAGGGTCCAGGCAAAGCCTTTAAGCATCAAGCCCGAACCGACACCCTAAACAATAGGTCAGGGCTTTTGGTTTAGAGCCGGACTCTTCGATGGCAGCGGACCTCTAGTGGAACCCGGGCGACGGCAACCGCGGCGACCATGGCAACAAGATGAGGACCGACCTTCGTTTCAGCACTTGTTTAGAAAGTTTGAGCAATCCATGGAGCATTCCCGTTGCCGTGCTGCTGCAGGTAAAAGATTGTGGTTGGTTTCAGGGTTACTCTGGGATCGTAATGGCGAGAAGTTCGAGTTCAGTGTGGTTCGGTTCGGTGCTGTTTACGCCGTATTGAGCAAAAAATCTATTGACGCATCAGGTCATTGATGACTGATAGCGAGTTGATGGGGATGTGTCTAGACATGGCCACGGTGAGGGCCCGCTTTTGAGCGGATGGATTCGACAAGCGTCACTCCCACTCGCGCCCTGTTCGCTGCTTGGGCTGCTGTCCAGAAAGAGTTCAAGCAACTGTGCCAGAAGGTTTCCGAGCAGCAGTCTCTGTGCACGGAACCTTTCCAGCAGAACTCGTCTGATCAGGACCGGATCTCGCACTTGTGCCGAAAGCTTTGGAGCCAGCATGTGCTCTCCCAGGATCTTTGCGAACAACAGGACATGGCTCAGGCGCAAGAAGCCTGCCCAGAGCTTATTTACATGAATGCTATCTGCCATCAGCTTTCCGTGCAGCAAGCCGAGATCAAGCGTCTCTCCCAACAGCTTTCCCACCAGAAGGCTTCTGACCGAAAACACATCAAGCGTGTCTCCGTACAGCTCTCGGTGACGGAGGCTATCTGCCAGCAACTTTCGATGCAAAAGGCTTCCGACGAGGAACAGATTCAGCAGCTCTCGGGACAACTTTCCGAGGGGAGGGCTAGCGCGGTGCAGGTCAATCATGTCTACCAACAGCTTTCCGACACGGAGGCCGTTTGCCAGCGGCTTTCCGCACAGAAGGCGTCCGACGAGGAACAGATTGAGAAGCTCACCGGACGACTGTCCGAGGAGAGGGCAGCTCACGAGGCACAGGTCAGTCATGTTTACCAACAGCTTTCCGACACGCATGTTATCGGCCAGCAGCTTTCCGTGCGGAATGCGCCCATCGAGGAACAGATTGAGCAGCTCACACAACAACTTTCCGAGGAGAGGGCTGCTAGCCAGGCACAGGTCAATCTTGTCTACCAGCAGCTTTCCGACACGGAGGCCATTTGCCAGCGGCTTTCCGCACAGAAGGCGTCCGACGAGGAACAGATTAAGCAGCTTTCCCAAGAGCTCTCGGGGCAGAAGGCTGCAAACCAGGTGCAGATCAAGATCTGCGAGGAGCTTTCCGCGCAGCAGGTGTCCGACCAGGAACTGATTGACAAGCTCTCGCAGGAGGTTTCCGGGCAGAAGGCTACCATCCAGGCCCAGATCAAGGTTTGGCGGGAGCTGTCTCTGAAGAATTCTGCTGACCAGGAGGAGATGAAACGCCTCTCCGAACAGCTTTCCGAGGAGAGGGCTGCCAAGCAGGCGCAAATCGAACATGTCCACCAACAGCTGTCCGACGCACAAGCAACTCGTCTACGGCTTTTTTTGGAGAAGGCTGTTGACAAGGAAGCGGTTAAGCGTCTCTCCGCAGAGAATGTCGAGCTTCGGACTGTTGAGAAGGAGGCAGTCAAGGCTCTGGCCCAGCAGCTTCTATCAAGCCTTCCGGATGTTGACACTGCTTCCTCTCAGTGCAGGACACTTTTCCCTGTCCCCAAACCCACCCCTCCCTGCCCTCCCCCCGCTCCCCGCCTCGGCCCTTCCCCCTCCCCTTCACCTGCATACCTCCGGCAGTCCCCCTCCATCCCTCCTACACTCCCTCCCTCCCGCCTTCCCACAGCCTCTCCGCCCCACTCCACCCACTCTTCCCTACTCAAGTGTGTACCTGCCGACCAACCAGAACACAGCGCCCTCAGCAGCCTCTTCCTGGACTCAATGACACAACACCGAGAAGCTGCACGCTCAGACCAGTTTTGCGACCTGCCCAAGGTTGAGATCACAAGAATTTGTGAAAGCGTCAACCCCAACATAGCCGACCAGTATCGCCATGCCCGAAAACTTCTCGCGCAAAGAAGACCTGATGGCTGCACTCCTCTCCTAGGAATCACAGCTTTCAAGTGCGCCGTGGAAGATGGACATGTGAACTTGAATGAGTTTCTGGTGTTCCACGGCTGTCCATATGGTGCGGTCCAGAGCATCCTGGAGAAAGGATTGGACCCGCAACGTGGAGGAGAAGCTGCCGGACACCTGTTCGGTACAGGAGCCTACTTTGCCGAGAATGCCTCGAAGTCGGACTTCTATACGACGTGTCCGGAATGCAGCTCATGCAGAGGGTGCAAGCATCCCGAAGCCGAGCGATGCATTTTGGTCGTTCGAGTCATACTGGGGGAGACGAAGGTCGTGACAACCGAAGACTGCAAATCCTGGAGAAGGGCGCCGGACGGCTACGATTCCGTTACTGCCCAGAAACGATCAGATGGGGGTGTGCTGGACCACAGGGAGTTCGTAGTGTACAAGGAGCAGATGGCATTGCTACGATGGCTTATCTTTTACCGCCACAGGACAGACTGTGAATGCCACAATTGCAAATATCGCCGGAGTTGATGATCCAATCGGTGAAAGCTGTGTGTAAGAAAACATGCATGACTTCGCGGAAGCTGTGCTTTCCAGCAGGTTGCGCCATGTGCGCAACATGCACAGTCATGCGGCTTTAGCAAGTATACGCACCGGCTACTCGCTTTTCGCGGCAGCTCTGAATTGGAAAAGAAAGACTAGGTTAGCTTTCCTGCAGCTTGGACTCCGTCACACCTCAGATTTAGGCTATGCCTTCTAATTACAGTTGAGGGTGTAGGGTCCAGGAGGGTCCATAGATGCTACTATTATGGAAGTAGTTCCCTCAAGCCATGTCTGATCCAAAGAAACGGTAGCATGGACCCCCTGGAATTGTAGGCGTTGACATGAGTTTGCGTTGTTTTTTTCCGGGCCTGGGTGCTCAACGAAACTATCCACCCAAAGCTTCAACCTACAGCGAACGTTTAGGGCGGGTTTAGTGTTTAGGGGGTTAGGGGTTCAGGGTTGAGGATCGTGAGCACCTCACTCAACTCCCACTTGCCTTGCTGAATTTGTTGTATAAGCACCCCGAACCTCCAAGCATAGCCAATGCAACTGTATCCTTGCTGAATTTGTTGTATAAGCACCCCAAACCTCCAAGCACAGCAAACTGTATACCCCAATGACCCAACCTCTGGGCATCAACATAGCCCAAAAGCCTTATATAGTATGGTCTTTGGGCCCAGAAGCCTTAATATGTGAGTCCTTAGATGCCTAGGGAATGCAGCAATGCAGCCTTTGTGATGCACAGGACTCCTGGGAGTTCATGAGCAGCCATGGCGACCTTTTTTTTCCTCGCGATGGGCGTCGCTCATGGACTTCAGGGTTCCGGGGGGTTCGTACGGTTGATGATATAAATCCTGCATTACCTTAAGGACCCTAAACTATGGGAATTATGGTAATTGTGGTATATTCCTTATTATGGGTAATGCAGGGTTTGTATCATCAACAGTAGTTTAGAGTGTTAGGGTCTGGAGTTGTAGGGGCCAGGCCCCTACAAGTGCAGGGTTTCTGGATATTGATAATGCTGTCGTTGGTGTTGTCGACGATGATGCTGTTGGGCCTGCACTTAATAATTATAGGGGTCTTAACAATTACCGAGTGTTCTTTTCTATACTTATAGTATTTTGGGCCTCAAAAAATTTATTAAACAATATTAAGGCCCTTTTTTCTAGTCCGGTGTACTACACACTCAAAAAGTAGGAAAGGTCCATCACACGACCCTCAACCTTAACACTCCGGAGCCCGACAACGTTACTCTCAAAGCTACACCTGCAACCCCGAAGTCCGAAACCCTAAATGGGAGTTTCCGAAAATAGGGGACCTTAATCTAGTACGGTAAATAGTAGGATCCTTGTGAATAGTAGGATCCTTGTGAATAGTAGGATCCTTGTGAAAAGGACCCCCAAATAAGGTACCCCTAATTTTCGGAAAACCCCAAATCCTCCAACTCCTGAACCTTGTCCTGTGGCCCCCTGTGCTGCTTCCTCTAATCCTGCATGAATTGTGACTGCCATCAAACCATGGCAACTATGGCGGCGGTATACGGTGGTGTTGGGATTATAGGCTTTAGAGATAGCTCCTTATCCTGGATACTGCACGATCTCATCCGTCAGCAATGCCGGCAGGTTGTCTTCCACCGGACGATGGAGGCCCTCATTCGCACACCGAGATGGGAAGTTACGGTGGAGGATGTGGGGTCGGGGCTTCAGGGGCATTTTAGGGAAAGTGTTCAGAGTATAGGGTCTACAGCAGGATTTCGGTTTTGGGGGGAATCAGATGAAAAGGTTCAGGAAACTTTCCTGGGCTGTCCCAAAGACCCGAAAATTCGGTACCTGGTGTGGGGCACTCGAAGTTAGGGAATCTATGATGGTCCGGTCAGGCACTGGGACCGTGGGGAGTTTTCAGGTCCTTTCCGGGTCTGCCGGAGCTCGTTGAGGATTCGGCGATCGGGGCCCCTGGACCGGGGTTGAGGATTTGGTGGGAAAAGCTTGAGGGTTGGGGATAGGGGTTTCCCACTTACCCTGAGGCCGCAAATACCTGACCGGCGTATATTCCCCCTCAAACACTATAACCTCCACTCTTTTGGCGAATGTGGGTCAGTGTGGCAACGCATACCGCGAACCTAAGGCGCAAAAATCTAAACCCCGAAACGATAGGTCCTCCTCATTCGATCCCTAACTAGAGGCTCCAAAGTAGTTCCTTTTTGTGGCTACCTTATAGGATTCTTTTTATGAACCCCGAAAAGGAACTACTATGGAGCCTATGGGTAACTACTGCATCCTTGGGACGGGAGATGCGGGTGGAAGGCAAAGATGATCGCCGCGCTTTCTGCTGCAGATTAGCCGGTGAACATCGAATGAAAATTCTCGGCCCGAGGATGCTGCATGGTAGCTTGGGTTGAAAGGTTCAGGGTCTGGGGTGTATAGGACGACCTAAGAGGTTTCTTAATTTGGTGATTTCAAGGAGTTCACAGTCTTTATTTGTAATCTGTGTGAGCTTTCTTTCGATATAGAGGGCCAACGTACGTACTACGTCAGTTGCCGAAAACGGGTGCAGGAAAAACGAAGCTTGCAAACAGGGGTCAAACCCAGACCTTCCAAAACCCCTTAATTAAGGAATATACCCTAAATTATGGTAGGATCCTTAATATGATTTAAGGTATATTCCTTAATTAAGGGATTTTGGAAGGTCTGGGAGAAGCCGGGGTGCTTCAGAGGATATTATTGGAGCCCGCAAAAGACATACCTCGGACCCTCAAGGGGACAGAACCCTTACGGATTTAGGGCATAGGGTCTAGAGGGCTTTGCTAAGATTCCAGATATCCCAAATCAATTGGCAGTTGTAGACTTATAACCCCCCCCCATTTTCAGGTAATATAGACGCCTGAATGATTACCAATACCATTCGTTTGAAAACACAACCCCAAAGCTCCAGTCAGAATGCCCATGCTAAACATGAAGACCCCTATACTCTTACTTACACACTTCGCCTTTGAGGCATTCAGAATGTATCGCCGCTGCCGCAGCCATACGTGGCTTCTTGTAGCAGCCCTCATCCAACTTCTGAGACGACCACAGTCTGGTGCCCGGGGGCCGGGAATCACGGTCCGCGGAATTTGCCCCACAAGCATCCCAAAACCCTGCTGAAATGAGAAGAACCGTGTCACGTTGTAAATGGCGTGCCCTGAACCTATAATCGCAGTATAAGTCTGATCCCCAGAGGATCATGAACTCTGTTGTTGGTATTTTGGGTGTAAGGTTTGGGATAACGCTCGGCTTGTGCACAATGGGGGTGCAGGGCTTGAGCATCCCACATGAGGTGGCGGTCCAGGTCCTCAAAGGTTTAGGGTCTAGGGCTTGACTCAGAAGCACTTCCTGTTCAGTGCTTTTTTGTTTAAACGTCTGGACTGGCTGGTTACGAGAGAGGGGGCTGTGTCTCATTTTTGCACGCCTCGGTATCAATGCTACGGTCGAGAAAATGGTTCGAAGACAAACGTGTCACGCAGACTGTATACCCTGAACCCTAAACCCGCAGTCCAAGGACTGATTGGTGTTGAAATAGCCGAAAGTACAGCCCAATCCCCTCGCACCCTCAAGCCCAGCGTTATCATAGTCCACAGGCCTGGAACCAAACAGATCAACTCCACGTTCGACTTCGAAATTTTCGGAATGGACGATTTGGGATTTTGTGTTAAGGCCGTTGACTGAGGGTGTTCAAACTTCTTCACGCTGCACCCCGACGCCACAACACCCAACTTCTTGCGACACACAACCATACAACCCTAATCCAAATTCCAGCCTAAACCCCGAGCACTACTAATCAAATCTTAAAACCGTGTACTACTAAACGTTTTGAGTCAGTGCCCGGTGAATTGTTCACAGGTCGCAGATGGGCTGCATAGGCAGCACCAATGTGTGCAGCCACTGCTCTGCACACAAGTTTTGTTGCTATCGATTTGCTTCTAAAATACCTTGAGGGCCTTTAGGGTTTGGGGCATATACAAAAAGTATAATAGGGAGTCCCCAATATAGGGTGTTTCTCAAGCGTCCATGTAGTATACGCTTGGGCCCTGAACGTGCTAGAGTTCTACGTAGGGAGCCCTCCTGGGCCGAAATACTACCCATATGGCCCCTTCGGGTTTAGGATTTAGGGTCTCGATTGGGTTCTACATGAACTGCGAAGCGCTTATTTGAGCTGTCCTATACCGATTGTTGAAACTTTTTGGGTTCTATAATATTCATCGACGTTCGTACTCATCTAAAACTCTAAACCCTAAACCGTTTAACATCCCTTTTCTCCCCAATGTTGCTACCCGTGAGCCTTCTCACAATGCGTGTCTGAGGTAAGTTCGAGTCACCCACGTTGAACACGGAGGCCACGCTTTGTCGGGTCTAGTTGGGAGTGCGTGCTTGTGCTTCTTGCAGCACCCTTGTTTTGGGTTAGGGGTTTCTACAGTCGGGCTAGTTGCAATACCCTATGTTACGGTTTAGGGCGGTGTACCCAGACCTTCCAAAACCCCTTAATTAAGGAATATACCTTAAATCATATAAATCATATTAAGGATCCTACTATAATTTAGGTTATATTCCTTAATTAAGGGATTTTGGAAGGTCTGGGTAGGGTTTAGGGTCGGGTAAGTTGTAAAGCTCGACTGCTTAGTCTACTTGCAAGACCGGATCACCAGTCTCTATGTATAGTACCGAGGGTTTAGGGTTTAGGGGTTTAGGGCTTAGGGTTTAGGGGTTTAGGGCTTAGGGTTTAGGGGTTTAGGGTTTAGGGCTTTAGGGTTTAGGCCATATGTACCCAAAGGGTCCTACGTACCGATATAGTAGAATGTAGGGTTTCCATATTAGGAATTACTTTTATGGCTTAGGGAAGTATCCCCCATAACAGTACATAGGACCCTTTGGGGTATAGTACCGAGGCCATATCTGGATAGCACAACGTGGGCTATAGGTAATATAGGGGCCTAAATCATTACCTATACTCTTTTGGGGGCTCCTTCTTATATTTATGGTATAGTGGGCACCAAAACCTTATTCTAACTAATTAAGGCTCCTATAGTATAGGTATGGTTACCGTTCGGTCGCACATGCAACACCCTAAACCCCTGATGCAGGGCCTAAAACTTCACACATGCCCTAAAAGAAGCGCTGCAGGCAGATCACTTGCCACCGGTAACCCGGCCTTTGACTTTGATCACATTTCGGTTTAGGGCTTGCAGGTTTTAACCCCTAAACCCGGAACCCTAAACGCTAATCTATTCCTTGACTGCGGGGGTTTGAGGGGTCGCTTTCCTCGTGGCCTCAGTGCTCCCACGCGGTTCAAGCACCCAATAGCTTTTGGTTTTAGGGTTTAGGGTTCGGTTTATGGAATCCGTATCTGGTCTGGCCTGTCCCCTGCAATGCGGTTCCCTACATTCCCATTGTTTCTGTGAGCTTGAGACCTAATAAATCCTGAACCCGTGGGGTTTATACGTGGTCAGACATAGGATCTCGTCGAGCATACTGGATCCTGGGCTTAAAGGCTCATGGATGTAAAGTAAAAGCCAGAAAGTTGGAATATGATTATCCTAAACCCTTTATGGTAAATTTTAAGGTATCCTACCCTGAAACCATATTCCAACTTTCTGGAGTTCCCTAGGGAACTCCAGAAAGTTGGAATATGGAATAGTGGCAGGATCCCTTATAATTGACATTAAAAAGATTATGATAATGATATTCCAACTTTCCGGCTTCTACTGTATGTGAAGGCGGCCTTACATAGACCGCAACTAGCTTTTACTAAGGCCAAAAGAAGCGCCTTCCCACAGGCACCAGTATGGAATGAGGTCCCAATGCCATAATATGGATGGTTTCTTGGGACCTAACTCCATAATGGTACTATATATGATATGGCGGGGAATAATTCAGGACCATGCCGTCGCTAGTACCTAAACTCCCCCAAAGTAGGTAAAATAATGGCCCAATACCCATAAAGAGGGCTAGTAATTATTCTACATACTATTTGGGGTCCAGGTAAGTGTCCCAGAAGCATCATGGAAGGGTTCCGGCCATACAAGGTTTGGCAATGAGAAGTCTCAGGGGGAATTGTTTCCTCTTTCCCCGCTAGCCCTTGAGGGCATTCAATGCCTTTTACTCCTGACGTTTCAAGATTTACTTGAAGCCTTGCAGCCCCGCAATGCTCAAAACAAGTCTGAGCCTCGCACCTTTACGGTGCCTTTAGAAGATCCAAGCCCTTAAAGATTGACCAAACAACCCTTCATCTGTAGTTGCTGGCAGAATCCAAGGCACCTAACTTGCTGCAGTCCATTGCGAGAGGCTGCAGAGACTGCGGCGGGATCCTCAAGAGTGTTTCAGCCCGGAGACTCCAGTATCCCTTAAGTAAAATAGATTCCTTAAATCACATTAGGGATCCTTATATGGTTTAAGGTAAATTCAAGAAATTGGGTGATATTGAATGGAGTCTCTGGGAGTTCCCTCGGGGATTGGGGGGGTTTGAGGGTTTATAGGGTTTCAGGGGTTTGGGGTTTCTGCATGGGTACATGGGCGATATTACAGTTTGTAGTACACCCATTAAACCCTATGACAGCTTCAAAGGAACCCTTACCCTTACAAAATAGCCCAAAAGCCTCATATAGTATGATCTTTGGGCCCAAAAGCCTTCATATATGAGTCCTTAGATGCCTAGGGTTACACGACCACTTTAAGAAACGTTTCAGGAATCCTAGAAAAAGGCGACGTGCATGTTCTGGACTGGGAGCTTCCTCCTGCGGCCCAGGCGTCCCCAAAGGCGGCAAGGAGCACGCAACTGCCAGCACGCAGGCAAGGGCGCGAGATGTTTTGGAGCAGTATATACTCTTCTTAGCAGGGGAGATTGGGCTAGACTAGCTTAGTTCTCAAAGGGTTGCAGGGTTTTGAACGAGACTGTCAGGATTTAGGCAATTTGGCATGTGTTGAGGTTTACGGGGGAAGGAGAGACCTGCAACTATCAGTCCTCATATATATATATATGTAATCATCACAAAGCCATGCTGTATTCTTCATTTTCAAATCCTCTATATTGGTTCGGAGTGCGGGGATTTCGTAATTCAGACATTTGCTGGGTGTTTTCAATATTTGCTCGGGGCTTCGACACCGAGAGGGTAGGGACATAATTGCACGAAAATGTAGGTCGTAGGGGGGCTTCAGGCCAGGGATTAAGTTTATGTATATGTATATGTATATATATATATATATATATATATATGGTCACCCCCCCCCCCCCAAGATCTACATCCGCCTCTTCCACACAATTCCACAGTTTGCTTCTCTACATTGGTCGTATATATATATATATATATATATATATATATATATATATATACACATGTGCATATATATATATATACACATATATATATATATATATATGGCTTTCAGATAGCCAGCTTTAACACGGACCAGTTGCCGGCCCAACCACGTGTACTTAAAAGCGTCCGGTTGGGGTAGCAGGCGGTTAAGGGGTGGAGGGCATGATGGGGCTTGCCCTGAGGGTGTCATTTCCGGCGCTTGAACCGAAGCCGTCAACCCTACACCCGCAAAGCTTAGTAGCATACGATTTAGGGTTTAAGTTTTGAGTATTTGCAGCAATACCCACACTCTAGGGCTCCAAAGGACGCAACAAGCCTTTAGTAGTCTAGGTTAGTATTTGGGGGCTCTGCTTGATTCTTCGGGTAGGTAGAGACTTCCGGAAATGCCTTGGTATGCATAAACGTGGAGTATTCATCGCCAGAGGATCCACAATGCATCCAAGACACCTAAGTTACATGCCAACACCAAACCCTACATCCCGACACTCCCATTTGCCTGAATAAGAATTCTCTCACAGTGCCTGTGATCCAGGCCAGTCCCGAGACGCAAGCCGCATGGGAGGAACCGCCAGTACAGGCACTGCTTTGGTTCTTCGGTGTTTAGCGGGGTTTAGGGTTTGCAGGGTTTATCGCCTGGCATGTAGGCGTACTTGGAGGATCGTGGGACTTAGCAAGTAAGGTTATAAGTACCTTAAGTGGGGTTATAAGTATCGTTACCCTAAAGTTATAACCCTAGTTACTAAGTCCCATGATCCTTTAAGTAGGGGTTGATTCAGGGCTTAGTAAGGTGCCTTTTCCGATTATTGAACCATCCTCATAGTTATATCCTTGAGAGTGTAGGGGTCGCAATGCATGGTTATGTCGGGTTGGAGGAGACGTGTGCAAGTTGAGTTAGGTGAGAACTCCACCAGGGGCAGATCTTACCGGAGTGAGTATCAGAATGCAAAATGGGAGTTTCCGAAAATGAGGGGTACCTTATTTTGGGGTCCGTACTATTCTAATGAGAGTCCTACCATTTAGGGTACTGTATAAGGGTGCCCTTGGTTTCGGAAAACACCGAAATTGAAATGGCCTGAGTGTTTGAGTATTTGCATTGTCACTCCGAGGCAGCTTAGTGGCCCTGGTTCTATTCATAATCTGCAATCTAGTTTCTATAGCAACCGTGAACGTGGCGAGTATTCACCGGGTGGTGGAGGGTCACTATAACTATGACGGTCCTCAAGGGTCTCATATGGTTTTGAAGATTCTTCTTAGGGTTTTTCAGGCTTCAAGGTTACTGCCCTAAACCCAAAACCCAAGGGTGCTAGGCATCTGCTGCCAACTTGGATCCTCAACCCACAGCTCTTTGTAAATCGCATAGCCACCGAGACTTCAGATGTTAAAGCTCTTGTCAATGAGGGGTCCTGGGTCTTTGGGAGGGTTGGGAGTCTAAGAAGCAAGGCCTGTAAGGCCTTATCCTGCAACCCGGCAACCCTAATCCTGAAGAATCAGATGATCCACTAAGAAAGTCGGAGAAAGGCTCAGTAGTGGCGTGGGTTACCTGGTTGAGGTACGAAGACCCCATTTTTGTCCATAAGTTCTAAACCCTAAAACCCAAAAGGCCCTTAGCCTGAAACCCTAAACCCTAAAGCCCGAAACCCTAAAGCCTTCATCCTAAAGCCCCATATGATTCCAAAGTCCTAAACCCCAAAGCCCCAAATCCCAATAATAAGAATTCCAATAACAATAGTCCCTAAGGGTCCATGTGTTCATATAGTATATACATTGGCCTTAATGTAGTCCCTATAAAGGTACTTTGGGGCTCATGTATCTCTATATGGGTACATAGACCCTTAAGGAATATTAATACAAATTCTAAACAGCACCCTGGATCCTGAGGTCGCCCCGGCAGCGAGGCAGAACGAGATGGTGCAGCCGAATGGGCCAAGCAGGTGCTGGTGGGCCTTGTTTAGAGTTTGGGGCATAGAGTTTGGGAATTTTAGGGTTTAGAGTTTGGGGTTTCAAGTTTGGCCTAGAAGTAGAGTAGCCAACCTTTGACCTTGTTGGGTACTATGACCCCTATATAATCTCAGTATGCTCCCATGCAAAGCTGGCTTAACCTTTAGTTCCCCAAGATACTCGGCAAGTAGGTTGGGATTTGGAGTTTCAGGGCTTAGGGTTGAGGGGTTGGGGTCTCGAATTTAGGGTCGAGGGCTTCGAAGTTCAAGGCTTAGGATCATTTGGACAGTCGTAGGGTTCTCCCGCGGACGCGGCGTGCTCCCTGGTGGTCGACTTGATCACGGAACGCAACCGGCTCCTACCGCTGCTGCTGCCCGAGGAACATGCACCATATACTCAGGGGTCCCCTACGGCCTCGACGGTCACTCGGAGGTCGCCAGGCGTGCTTCTCTGAGGGATTTGCGCTTCCAGCGTCGCTGCAGCCGCCACGAAACTGGCTAATGGCTCGGATCTCGAGCTGTACTACAGTGCCCTCCATCAGTCTGAGCCAGATGCTGCAAAGATGTGTGAAAGCCTGGACGAGCTCCGGCGCTCCTCACCACTAGGCTGAGCACTCCGAAACTGGCCACTGGCAATGACCTTCGCCACCGGCCTCCAGATTCTAAAATGCATGTTTGTTTTATCGGATGTTTCTGTACATAGGGGCTTGCAGTAGACGAGTTTATCCAGGTTAGCCATAAACTCTTCGAACACGATTTCCCAGTAATCAAGACATGTACATGGCCAGATAAATGGATCGACAGATAATGAATAGATAGAGAAAGAGAGAGCGAGAGAGAGAGAGAGAGAGAGAGAGAGACAGAGAGAGAGAGAGAAGAACCGCAGGGAGATGGAGGTCTTCTAAGAGCACGAGTATTGTGTTCATTGGACCCCCTGTTCCAGGAGTTGGCTACGAAAAAGCCGGAAGATGAGAAAGGGCCGCGTGTAGACACGTTTATGCGATTCCACTCAAGGTAAGATGGTGAGGTTCAGCGCTTTCTGCTTCAACACTCGCGGTATATTGTGGGGTTTAGGCGTTGCAGTCGGGGCTTTGCAGAAGCTTGGCGTTTCAGGACTATTGGTTTGGACCATAACCGTTGGTTCCCTGTAACGCCTGATCCTAATCTCCTCTACCCCTGTCAGAACTCGGGACAAAGATCCCCCTGCACGAGAAGAGCCGCCGCTCCACTCTCAAACCGCTCAGCCGTAACTCTACGAGACTCAACGGCGCGGCCCTTCACTGCATGACCGCTCTGTTTCACATGCCTGGGGGATGACGCCATTCGGCTCAAGTTCCCTAAACACTAAATCCTAAACCCTAACCCTAAACCCTGAGGTTTGCCCTCCTCGCAAGTTCTTTGAAGCGGAGAACTTGCGCGTGCTCAGAGGTTGATCTCATCAACCTCCGAGCTTCGTGGGGTTGTTGTGATTCCGTTTTCTTGCGACAGCAAATGGGGAACTGCTAGACTTCGTTCACTACGTGGAGAGAAGGCCCGTCTCCCAGAACACCCCGAAATCTCGAATCTCTCTGTGTTTGTGTCTATGTTCTTAGGTATTCATACCCGATAAGCCTGAGCAAACCTTCCTGTAAAGCATTAGAGCATGTTGCAAGATTCTGCTGAGCACCTTGTAGAGCATGCAATGGAAGGCTGTGTAGTCTACAAGCACGGGCACCACGAACATTTGGATTTGGTAAAGCCTTGTGTTTAAAAATTGAAGAACTCCTAAACCGAAGGAGTCAGACCCCCCATGAAGAGTGCCTTTACCTGCGAATCTTTGCTTTTCCAGCAGTGAGGTGGCACAAAAAACAGTATTTGGACCGAGTGTTTTGGGTGGAACACTTCGTTTTTATGGATTAGTTTAGGTTCGAGAAGGGCTCTACAAGGGCTTTAGACGGGCTTGGGATTCTTTTGAAGCCCTTCAAATGCGAGAGTCACTGTAGTGTTTGTAGCCTGTCTCTGAGATGGTGTCAGTAGGTGTGTAAAGATATCGGTAGCCTACACAGGGCCCTAGTTGGGGTTATTTTACTTGTGACGGTGCTGAATAACAACTTAATTACTGGGCCCCTGGAACCCCGGAAGTACACACCACGTCTTTTCGTCAACTCCAAGAGCTGGGGGGGAGTTTGGAGAAGTAGAGGGCGCTGGGTATGCCATAATATCCCCTTAAAGGGAACCCTTAAAGGAACCCCGACAAGGAACCATTAAAGGAACCCCACTTGGAGGTTCATGGGACTTAGTAGTATACAGAAATCATACTTGCAAGGCTAATCCGCACGCCACAAACCCCCGAACCCAAGAGACCTTAACCCTAAACCCGGAACCTACACAGAAACCCGAAACCTTGCCGCCGCCGTGGCTCGAACAACAACAATGACAGTGTTTCAAGGCTTGCTGTCAAGCCGGGCGCTCGGTATCCAGGGTTTTTGTGTCACTTCTTGTTCGAGGTGATGTGCAGGGTCCTGTACTTCGTTGTGTTTCTTTCGGCCTTGGTTTCACCCGGCAGAAGTCTCGTAGAAGCCTTCGCTGTTGCTTTTCCCCCAAGCCCTAGAGCCTGAACCCTAAAACCTCGACCGTTGCGATAAGGACCCGACTTCAATTGGCGAGCAAAGGGTTCGTGCTAGCCGGAGGCCTCGAAAAAATTACCCCCAAACATCTTGAGATGTAGGTTAGATACAGAGCATAGGGTTAAGTATAGAGCTTAGAGCGTAGGGTTTTTGAGGAACGGGCCCCAACCTTGGCCTATAGGGTCTTGGAATCATGGGGTTCAGACTTGCCCGGCCGGCTTAAGTAGTGCGTATGTGGGTACATGCCCCCTTTATAATTGAGGTGGAGAATTTGGGATTTGGGGCAACGTCAAAACCGCAAAGGCCTAACATCAACCCCAATCTCTGTCTTTGAGGTCGGGGCATTCATGGTGGATCCTGTTTGGATCTCATCTCGATGTCTCTCGGATGATTGGGAGAGCAATAAACTTTAAACCGCTAAACTCCCGTACATCGGTGTTGACTGATTTTTTGAAGCTAGGTTTAGCCTCCTCAGCTGCCAGCTATGTTGTTTTGCGTCTCGGTTGTAATTGCTGCTTCTGAGCTTTAGGCACCGATTGAAGCAGACCCCGCTGAAAGTGCCGGGTTTTCCCAACCTACACCCGACCTTCGAATGTTAGTGCTAAGCCCCTGCGCTCTCAACCCTTCATGTCACATGATGTAGGGTCACTATTGTCGCTAGATATGTCTCCAAGAATTCAATCCACTCGGAGATGCTTCTCCGGAGCCTGGAAACCATTAAGAAAACACCCGTCCAAAGTCCTCAGCGTCAGATCCTAAAACCCAGTCTTAGCGTTTCCTGGCTGCTCAAGGCCTTCGCATGGTCCCTTTTAGCTGTAGAACCCAAAGGGTCCTATGTACCGATATAGTAGAATGTAGGGTTTCCATATTAGGAATTACTATTATGGCTTAGGGAAGTATCCCCCATAACAGTACATATAACCCTAAACCCTAAACCCTAAACCCCCTTTGGGGAATGCAGCCATTTAGTTAGCTGCCAGCTCGGGGCCCGAATATGCGAAACTTGAATTAAACCTCTTGTCCTCACATCTGGAGTTCGCGGTTTCCCCTAGGGCTCCATAGTAGTTCCTTTTTGGGGGTTCGTATATACAACCCAAATAGGTAATCCCAAAAAGGAACTACTATGGAGCCTATGGGTAACTAGAGTCTAGGGTTCGGTTAACACTTCGACCCTGAACCCTCAATCCGGTAAAGCCCTAGAAGCCTCAGAACCCCGACCCCGACACCGCGAGAGCCTAAATCCCAACGCCTGCAGAATTATGAAGTTAGGAGTTTGCAGTTTAGGGGTCAGGGTTTAGGGTTTGAACCCCAACATTTCGCAAACCACGGCAGCAAACAGAGCAGATACATGATCGACAAACCCAGTAGAACCTGCTTCTTGCCAGGGTCCCTTAAAACCCACTCCAGGGAGTATAGGTTCCCATGAAATAGCACCGTAGGTCCCTCAACCCTATAGACTATAGACCCTACAGAAAAGTAGGTGAAGAAAGCCGAGGTCGGGTGGCAACGACACCAGCACCACAAATGAGACGATCAGCATCCTTGACAGCACCCCTGCGGAGCGCCCGAGGGCTTCAAGTTGGTGGCCATTTTTGGGTTTAGGGACTGGGGTGCCCTGAGGGTCCACATACCTAACGCTCATATGGGTAGTTCTCCCTCAAATAGTACAGCACCCTTATTCAAAAGGGCGTCGAAGGGACCCAGATTGTGCGAACTGCCCATGTTCTCTCTCAGTACTATTGCTCTACGTAACTACTATCCGAATCTCAAGTAGCCAAGTATCGGGTCCTTCACATCCTTGGGGCAGGGGCTTCAGGGTTTTGGAGGGTTTTTGCAGTCGCGAGTTGGGGATTCAGGGGGACGGAGTTCGAGGTTCTGGTCGAAGGCGCAGGATGTTGCGAGTTTTGGGACTCACTCGGGACCCCCCAATGCCCTTTCATGGAGCCCTTATGGTCCCTAATAGTGAGTACTTAGGGCATAATAGCTGGAGGGTAGTTGGGGGGTCTAGGCAATCGGGAACCTTTAGATCGGGGTTCTCTTCTCCTTTTGCAAGGGTCGCATCGATATAAACCTCAACACCTTGCCTCTTCTTTTCTGAACCTGCACCGTGGTTTGGTCACTGGTGTATAGCAACATATATGCAGTCATGCAACTGTACGTATGTATGTATGTATGCATGTATGTATGTATGTACATATGCATGTATGTACGTGTGTAGGTATATGCATGTAGGTATGTATGTTGTATGTATGTAGGTAGGTAGGTATGTATGTATGTGTTTTCGCACATGTGTGTGCATATGTGTGTTTGTGTATGTATGTGCTTATTTATGTATGTATGTATATATATATATATATATATATATATATATGTACTCGTACACACATACATAGTGGTCTATGGCTATCCAAACCAGGGTATTGCAGATTCGGGTCGAGGAAGAGCTTGCGGTTTCTGTTTCTGTGTAGTTTTGTTTCCCTGGTGTGATCCCATGGTAAGCCTGCAGACCCAGAAAGATTAAGCCACGCACTGTGATGTCTGGAGGAGATTTGCCGAGAAAATGGGTCAGGTCCACTGGGCTGGGAATTTTTTGAAGTTTGAATTAAGTAAAGGCTTTAACCCCAAACTCAACACCTTAAACGATAAAGAGTCGACATCCGTGTCCCTGAAGTCAGAGGCCTAAATCCTGAACTGCCAAATCGCCCTGCCCCATTCGAGAGTTCGCGAAGACGATTGTGCATCATGTCCACAACTGGACCTTCAACCCTAAACGCTGAAACTACGGCTAAAGTTGCCTGATCATGTCGGCCGGTTGAGGCGCTCTTCTTAGGGGTACTTAGAGAAATAATTTTTCAATTTTGGTTATTCTAATCCCTAAGAAACAGCTACAATTGCAATTTTTGCTAGGGTTCTAAGTTCAGTATAGGCTTGTCGCGATGATTCGGGTTGGATGCTCGCCTGTGGGCTAGGATCAATCAGTAGTAAGCAGTGGTTTGCTTAAGCTTCTTCGTTTCAAGAGCCCGTAGACTGCATGCACTTCGAAGAGAGCTCAAGTACAATCGACTCCCAAATTATGGACGGAAGCATTCCCAGTGCTGGTATAGTTACACCTCAGAGTTCCCCACCATCAGGGATCCCAAGCCCTAAGCCTAACGTCCCTTGTAATGAAGACCTCCAAGTACAGGAGCTGTTGGGTGTTCCTAACAGTTAAATTGCTTGGCAAGCAGCCATAGGGTTGTGGGGGGGGCTCTTCCTTGGCGGGTTTAGGCACCAGTGGTTCCGGGATAGTTGTGGTGTTCCTTTCGTGAGAGTTCTGCTGGGCTCTCTCAAAAGCGTCTCTGGGTGCCTTCTAAGAGGAGTGAGTACAGTTGAGAGTGTAAGCT